AATTTAGTTTATCTTATTCTTAAAAATATCAAACAAAATATTAAAACTGTAAGCCGGACTTATTACCATTAAATTTATTTTAATTCTAACTGGGTTTTTTTTTAATTCCTGAATAACCTGAATTATAGAAAATAATAACTCTTTAATATTAATTCAATGGTACGAAAAGACAATTTGAATAATTTTTTTATTATTCTGCAATATCAGTGACACGTCAATTACATACATTTATCAAATAATTGAATGAGGTGTAATAAGTAAAATAATAAATTAATTCAATTTTTAGTGAAATACGAGACTTATATAATTTAATCATTGTTATGGTAAAAAAAGATTGTTAATAATTTTTATCAAAACTTTGGCCGTTTGAGACTGTTAAACAAGGTTTTTGTTCAAAATTATGAGAACAAAGAGGCGAGCCGTAAAAATTTGCATGTTTTGTTGTAGTGGAGTGTTTGGTTGGTCGGGACAAACCGTACAGTCTGTCTCTTCGGCCCGACACGCCACTCACAGGCCGCGCAGCTCACAGTCTAAACACCTTATGGCCTGCGTGGTATGCATATTATCATGACAGGGGCGAGCTCACGTAAACAAAGCGCGAGAAGATTTACGACGCTCCGGGCAGAACTGTTTGTCAAAATTTGGCCTGGCAAATACATTACAGTGATACTGCACAAAAGGCCGCGCGCTTGTGTTGATGTTTCCTTAGTAACGACTCGAGCGTTTATTAATTGATTCGAGCAGAATATGCGGCGGCCCCGTTTATTTATTTTGTCACGGCACCCCACTCGAGAATTTTATTTCCTCTGGCCGCACATATCGCATTTAATAACCGCGTTGCCGCCAAATTAGCATATTGAAAAAATTTCAACGTTATAATTTTCGGCCTGTCTCTCTTCGATAATAACAATAATAAGCGGAATAACTCATCCGTGGAGACCTCGCTCTCTCTGTGTGTGCATATAAATAAAATTTATCGATTTCAACTTCTTCGCGTCCACTCTAGACTTTCACATGATTTGGCTACTCTGAATAAATAACGAGCGGCCGTTGGAAAGAAATTGATGAGATAATACAAATTATTTTTCGAGACCAGTGAATTCAATTTATTAAAAGACGTCATCAAACGCAGGGCGGGACTGCGGAACATCATTATAATAAACCATACTGCGATTGTGAATGGTGGTTTTTGACTTTGGTCATCATTAGAACATGCCTTGCAGCTACATTTTGAAATTCTATAGTGAAATAAGCTCTGATTCTTATGAAATGCATTTAAAATTCAAATTTCACAAGACAATCTAGTCAATATAATGTAAAACTTTAAACTTTAAACGTTGCCTTTGCTTAAAAATAATAAAATGAAATAATGTTTGATCTTAAAATAATTAATGATTTAAGTTTGATCCTTATTAGTAGAATAAAGATCAAATTCCGTCATAAAATAAATTCTTGGTGTAATTTAATAGATTTAATTAATATTTAATGCTTTGAAATATTTTTTATTATATAAGATAATAAAAAAAAAATAGTATTGTAACGTACTTTAACTATTTAACTTTTGAAGATGATTTTATAGAGTTACAATTTATTTTAATTATATCCAAACCGCAACAAGTTTTTGCGGTTAATTAAATAGAAATAGACAATTTAAAAAGATTCTTTTCAATAATTTAGCAGAGTTTTATTAATAAGGGGCATGTCTTTTACTGATATCAGAAAATGGAGCGAATAAAGCTGTTGGGAGCAAATCATCCAGATTAAAGGGCGCGAGGAAAAAAGCTCGTCGCCGGCGATAATTCATAGATAATCTAAATAGGTAGAGATCGCAGATTAGGGTTTAGGTTAGGTGTGTGTGATGGCAGGGGCGCTTTAAGGGGTGCTGCTGTTGTCATTACTTTTATGAAAGCGAAAGCGCGTGTTTGTCCATCGGGCAGGTCGTGCTCCTTGCCCGCTTATATTCTGATCAATCGCCCTTTTTTTCTCGCACGCACAGGGGCGAAAAGGCATTTTGGTAATGGGAATTGATTTCGTCCAGAGAAAGAAAGACCGCCCTTCAGCCACGCCGCCAGCAGACTGCACTAGAAGCAGCAAAGCAAAACTAAAAATAAAAAAAGCAACGTGTAAACATCCATCTCTGACAATGTAAATGGACTCTGCATATGGGCCATTCTGCAGGTGCCCCATTGTCGGGCCACGGGCCATTGTGTAAACACCACGTACGGCACAGAATGAGCAAGGCTGTTTCTAAATGCTGGCAAATTTCAGAGAAAATTACAGTGATTAGCTCTGTTTCGCTTGCAAAATTTTATAAATATTTTGTTACAAAAGGAAATTATTTTTAGATAAAATTATATTCAAAAGAATTCAAACCAACTTGCTAATTATCACCAAATGAGGAGGGCGCATATGCGCTGGAATCTCTTATTTTGGAAAGTGTATGGATGCGTTTTGAAAAAGACAACGATTGATTCATTTTCATATGATATTCATGATTCATATTTTTAGATAAAATAAAATGGAACTTATCAACAATTGAAAATACAATCAATGATTTTATTCTAAAATATTGAATTTAAAAAACATTATAAAATTAAGAGTAAATTTTTGTCCAATTTTAAAAATCTTTTTCCTTTTCAATATGTAGCTTAAATTTCAAAAAATATTCGAAAATCAATAGTCATGTGAATTGCATTGAATATTAAAATGAAGTAATAATTAATACGTTTAAATAGCAACTTGATTATAAGTGACTTTCTTCAAGAATCAAAGATCAAGATTTGTTAACAATTTTGAATAATACTTAAATGAGCAAATGGGAACTTAATATTTAATAATGAATACTCAATATTGCTTTAACGTACGCCATCATCATCAACAGCGTTAATCGAAAAACTAGAATATTTAAAATATATAAAAGCTTAATATATTTTATAATAAATAATTAGTTAAAATGGAAAATTAACAATATTAATTGAAATAAAAATAGAATAATACCATGATATTTTCAGATATTTATTATATTAAAATTTTTAATTATTTTTGTGCAATCGATTACAATTTTATAATTTTTATACCGTTAGTTTCCCGTTCAAAAAACAATGTTGAAATTTTTAGCGACGCGCCTATCGATTTTCCAATGCGCCTCGGCTAGTAAAAAGGCCAACACCCAGGATATTGAAAAGAAAACTTTGGTATGGCGTGTAGTAGTTGCACACACATGTACACACAGACACAATATACCGGTCTATGATTGTGTGGAGCGTGTGGCGAAAATAATTTATAATCCCCAGAATGACGTTTTACAAGAGCGAACGTACCCTCCTCACAACTCGAAGCCGCAACCGCTCGCTCGCTTGATTTACGGTTTATTGTGAAATTTGGCGAGCGAGCAAGACGTATAAAACGGCGTACCCAGAATTTGCATGATTTCTAAATTAAAGTTGAAACAAAGCATGACCGCTTCATTCGCTAAATGAGCTGCTTGTCGGGTCGCATTGGAATAAATTAAGTATTCGGTCGATCAGAAAAAGACCACGCCTGTGTGTCATTTTGTTGCTCTTGGGATTATCTCTCGTCGTCGAGCGCGAGTAATTGATGATGCAGAGTTTGACGTAAAGACGGTGTTTAATTGTTTAGATCGCATCGATTGGCTTTTCGCAGCGAGTTGAGAGAGAGAAAGGAAGAGCGTTGCCGAGTTATTCGATTACGAAATCGGGTCGAACTTTAGCCGCACACCTGCGATTAATGAGATAAAATCTCGGAAAACGTGGTCCATTCATCACCACTGTGGATTAAGCGGATTAACCTATATTTTTTTAGTTCACATTTATTTTACTCCATTTCAAGTCGGTGTAATAATAGCAAAATAAAGTTTATGAATCTCTTGCTTGCTTTATCACAATTAAAATTAAACTGGTAATAAGCACTAAAATTAACAAACTATCAAATAAAAATAACAAAAAAGAAGAAACATTCCAATTTTTGTTCACAATGAAAATGTTTAGTAAAAGTTAATTTAAATTTGGGAACTTAAAATTAGTTGATATCAATTTGATTTATAAATTTTAAGAAGTTTCATGGTCAGTGTAAATTCATTAAACCATATTAATTGTCTCTTCAGTTCAAGCGTTGAATTTTATCAGCTTCCTTGCTAGAGATCGTTGAAAAAAGTAAAGTTCAATTACGCTGGTTGTAGTTGGAGGAGTTGTTATTTTATTTGGAAAAGTCTCTTTCTAGTAAGGTAAATTCCTTTAAAATTATAATTATGCGAGGAAGCAGTTTTTTAAATTTATTTTTTTATGATTTCCTTTCTTAGATATTTTAATTTATCGTTTTTAACTTAAAAATTGCCAAAGTTTAAATCAAATTAAACATGATCAAAAAATTGTCAAACATCTCAAAATTAAAGAAAAAGTTGAATTTCTCTTTCAAAATATGATCATATTTAGAGTATTAAAATAATCTGAAGTTCTCGAAACAGAATCTCTTAACATGGATTATTTGTTTTTTATTATTACAAATATCTGTTATTTTGAAATAGAACTAGGAATTATATACAAAATTTACGTACTGGGATCAAATTTAAAAATAAAAAAGAAGGAAAACAAAATTTTGAAGAGTAGCAAAAGTTTTTCCACCAGTTCATTACGCAGCTTTAGCTTTCACTTATCCGTCGCGTTGAGTTGTTAAATATAAAGTTAGTAAAATTTTCCCCTAATTTTGTAACGTTTTCCGTCTTTCTTGTAAAAACTAAAATACTCAACCAGCAATTTTAATCAAACAAAATTTGGACAAGAGCGGCAAGCCATGATAAAGTTGACTTTTGTGATAATATTGCTAAGCCGTGAGTTCGGAACAAGCTTTCCTCTTTAAAGGAGAGAGAGCGTACATGGTATAGAAACGTGTTGCGCAAGTTTGCCCATTATATTATGCGAGACTTGCAAATATATGTATGTATGTGATACGCGGACTAATGCATGAATTTTGTATGTCGGCAGGAAAATCACCGTGTTGGGCCAGGACATGGAGGCCTGCGAGAGGTGGCGCGACTCGACGGCCTCGGCCTACTCGGGCTACTACACCACCCAGGGCATCATTCCGTCGCGCAAGGGCCAGCGGGAAGACATGCCCATTGTCATGCGGGTACATTTCATATTTCCAACTGGCCAAAATGAAAGCGGCCCTTTGCTTGCCTTTTGACAAAGAAATTTCAGCCTAATAGTTCTCTGCTCTGCTCTTCTCTCGCGCAAAACTGATATACCAGCTCGGACGGATGCATATTTTAAGCCCCTTCAAGCATTTTCCTTCTCTCTAGAGAGAGAGCAGTGCTTTTGCTCCTTTTACTTTTTGCATTCGTAGTTTATCGATTTGGCGCAAAGTTATGCTGGCCATGGGATTTTTAGCATAAATTTTCATGTCAAATTAATGCAGTTTTTTTTTTACTAACTCACGGATTTCCGTCTTGGAAATTGCGTGCGTTTGCTGAACGCGTTTTGACTAATGGCACATAAATCACCCCTAAGTGACGGCTTTTGATTTTACATCTGCAATTTAACCCAAGGTCAAACTAATTATTTAAAAATTTAAACATTTGAAAATATTAAAAAGGGATTTTATTGAAATTTAAACTATAAAATTATAATTTACTGTTCATTATTCCAAAATAATTTTTTTCCTATTATTGTAGAAAGTTTTATGGCAAATGATATTATAACACTAATTTTATATAATTGCAACATTGAATTCAATCAATTTTAACCATAGCCCCTTATTTTGTTGAACTTTTTTGCTTTATTGAATAATTTTTTTTTTAAACTATGACAATCGAACTCATTGTCAACTGTATCTGTTATCTGTTCTTAGCAAATCAACTCAATATTGAAGTATGTAATACTTATTGAACAATTCAATCAAAATTTTATTTTTAAAGAACTTATTTGACCAAATTTGAAAAAGTAACCTTGCTTGGAAAAATTAAAAAATCTTGCTTTTGGCGTCTTTTTTTTAAATTTCTCAACTAGGTATTAAGTCCGATTTTAATTTAGTGTTTTTTTTTACATTTATTAGTTTATCCTATCTCGTTTATCTTTTTTTTTTAAACATTCAACTAGCATTTTTTTCTAGGCTTTTTATTATCCGACCTGCTTGTTTTGTTTGTAATTTAAAAAGAAACACGTAGTACACACCAATAACAAAAATATCTCATTTTTTTTATAATTTTAAGTTTTCTTTTTGCTTTAAAAACATTAAATTTGTGGACAACACAGTACCGAAATCGTGTCACACAAATTGTCAGCGCGGCGCCGAATTCCGAATATATAAGCACATGTTATGTGAATGTTGAAAGCCATAATTTTTTCGCCTCGGCCTGCTCTCTCAAGTTTAATGGCTTCCTGGGTGCTGGCAATTTCGCGCGCTCACTTATAATTTGCCTCTATCAGGCGAGCTGCATTGATTTTCCAGCGACAATCACATAAATTCACTATAATACGCTCTCTTTCAAGACTGATATAACAAAAAAGTATAATAAAGGTTTGGTTTAAAACAAAATGTACCATATTGTTACGAGAGCGGCTTGTAAAAACACAAGCCAATCGTGCTTAATTTAAAAAATATTTATCTTAATAACATTAAAAAAGTGCATGTAATTTAACTATTTGAAGTAGGTTTCATTGAAAACAAATGTCAGACACATTGTGTATTTTTTTTTAATTTTCAATTGTGTGCTAGGTACACGGATATCCTGTCTTTTTTGCTATTTTCCATTTTTTTCTCATCTGTGAAGCTCCGATATTGATAAATATAATTTTTTTTCTATTTTTTTATTGCTCAAAATTTCGAGAAGATTATGAATTAATTTTTATCAGCTAATAATAATCACTTGCAATGACATTTCAGCTAAATTATATAATTTTAAATTTCACAAAATTACAATACTTTTTTATTGTTGACTCTATCCGAATGTTTATAAAAATACCATGCAACCTATAATTTTTAGTTTTAATCGTTTTAATAAAATATTTAATTTCATTATATTCAATAAAATTAAAAAACATTAATATATGTTTTATTTTTTTAAATGAAAAAAAAATTAATAATTATGAAACATTGTTAATTGTGATGTTAAATAAATTTTTAAATACAAACACTTTAAGTAAGAGGTCTGTATAGTTTTTGTATAGAAATTCAAATAATTCATAAAAAAATCAATGACAAATTAAATTGCTTGAATCAGCACGATAATGACAATGTTTCAATTCTTTTTCTTTAATTGCAATATCATACTTCAATAATAAATATCATAGTGATCACATCACCAAAAAATTTCCCTAGGCTAACCGTTCATCAATTTTTGCTCATATTAAATTTATTTTAACCCCTTTAATAATTAAATAAGCAGTCATTGGTCAAATTTGGTTTTAAAGCCACTTGGGAGACGAGTGCTTGAGACAAGTGTTGCAAATTATGCTCTTTTGTTTATTTTCCCTCCCGCTCACTGACTGCATAATCTTATTATTCCCATTATTTTCAACCCTCCAGCATAATTCCTATACCAGACAGCAGCGGGGATGAAATAATCCAAAATTACAATTGGCCCACACGCACAGTTGAATTTTCCGCGGACGTGCTCGTTATTTATTAGATCCGTGCGGAAAAAATGAAAGCGCGGCCATATTTTTCGCCGCGGTTTTATTTACGGCCTTGCGAAGCCTCTCGATGCAAAAAAAGCGTGCAATGCGTCTCACACGCTGCTGTTTTCCCGCATTCGGTTATTTTCATCTTCAAAGTGCAATGCCCGCAGCCGTAATTGTACTTGTTATGTGTTTGTCATGTTGAGGATCACAATCAGTTATAGTAAATGACGCGACAATGAGAGACAAACCGCGCCCATGAAAACCTGTTGACTGAGAGTACGCTGAGGGTCAAGGTCGGCCGAACAATTAACAATATAGCGACGCAATATGGAGAAGGAGAAAAAATCAAAACTCATAAATTCAAAAAAGGAAATATTAATTGTCTTCAAACGACAGAGAAGTAAATGTTTTCACTGGAATTTAAATTAGATTACATTAAATTTCGTTTAAATTATTTTTATTTACATTTCTCATATAGAAGATTTGATTATTTTGTTTTTGTGAGAGAAATATGAAAATCACGCTTGCGGGTAGCAATCATCATGACACAAAACCTGTGTAGCGCAAGAATAAAGCGATGGAATATTAATTAGTTTAAAGCCATATTTGGTTTGGACGGACAAATGATAAAGTTGCCCTAAATTTGAACCCAACAAACATTTTCTTGAAACTAAAATAAATCTAATTTTGTTCCGTAAAGTGACAAAGTAGTAAATTCTCACAATCAGAGCCACATAATATATTTAATATAATTTATAAATAATAATTTTAGATTTTTTCGCACTTTATTTCTATTAGTTTAATTTTCATTCAAGTTAACAAATCTTGAAAGTGCTTATCGCTATATCTAAAAATAATTATGCTAAAATATTATAAGTTATCCAAATCAAGTCTTTTCATCAATGGTGGTTAAAATTTTTAATTATTTTCCTATAATTAATTGACATGATCTGACTATGCCATAAAGAAATCTTCTATTTTTTGCAATATTTTTCTATTGCATATTTGAAACCGGGTTTCTCGTCGCAAAGAAAATTGATATGAATAAAGGACCCCAAAAGCGGTGTGCTGGATTTTTAAAACGTATATTGTTAGGGTTATTGACTTTGCCAGAAAGGAGAGGAGGCAATGCATAAAAGAATACCAAAAATGCATTACTCACCAACAGAAAAAAAAACGCAAAAAAGGCATAAATAACTTCTTTAGGCAGCACAAAAACACAGAGAACTAAAATTGAACTAAATGAAGCCAAGCAGCTGAAAGAAACACACCCACCAACAGACATATTAAACCATAAATGTAGTTATGGACGGAAAGAATTGCAAAAAAATAAACTATTTAAAAAAAACCGATACACAACTTCAAACACATTTTGAGGGAGCACAAAACGCAAAAAAACTCAGGCTAGATGGAGATCTATTGTCTTTGACTCAGTTGCTCAATTAATTACTGCAAAATTTGCAGTAATTAGATTAGTAACAAGATTTTTAATTCACCCAATTTTATTATTTTCCATAAATTTCTCCCACTTTCGTTTTAGTTTGGGTACGTCAGAACCCAAAATTTTTAAGTACTAGCAAACCGCAGGTCACCTTTGGGGTCAGTTGTCCTTTATTTCTATTTCATTTTTCTTTGCAACTAAATTAAACTTTGTCATGAAATCAACTTTGAGTCTTAGCTTTCAATTTGATTTTTTTTTCTTTTACAAAGCAATAATTAAGTTATAAAAAATAACAAAACTAATTGATTGTTTAGTGCATTACAATTTGGTTGTTGGTGTGCAGGTTAAGGAGACTGGTGAGCTGAGCACGTGTCTGCAGATCAAGTTCTACCGGCAGGCGGACGTGCAGCACTGCGAGTGGGGCTCGCGGCTGCACTGCATCGAGCTGGACTGCAGCGCCGCCGAGGGTTCGCTGTCAGTCACGGTGAACAAGCAGACCTTCCGGTAGCGCCGACTTCCCTCGGCGCTCACCACTCCATAACTCATTTCGCACGAATTTCTCTCTTGGGTTGCAGGAAAGTGGGGACAGTGTAGAGGTGGACCTGGACAGCATCCCTTTCTTCATAGCGCAGCACAGCCTGGTGGAGGAGGAGGCCGCCGAGCTGCTGGCCGCCGCGGCCGCCGCCGAACACTTGTGATAGAGACTCTCAATTCATCCCTCTGAAACTCTCAACTCACTCGACTGAACCGCCAAAGACGAGGGCACAATCACGCCGGCACAATCGCAACTTCGCTCTTAAAATTATAATTATATATCCAAACTAATTAACATTAATTATTATAAATAGAAAAATAATATTATAATTAAAAGAAAATTCTAATGTTACTATATCTAAAAATCTATAATAACGAGAACTGCTACTTTCAACTGCTGCTGTGTAAATAGATGAAATTTAAACTTGTTATACATGCGGTTGTTTTGTCCGTTTTTTGTTATTAAAGGGTTTGAAAGCATGAGATATGCACACACTTTTTTTTATCTGTTCATCCCTGATAAAAAAAAACTGCAAATCACAATGAGAAGTAAATTGCCAAATTTATTATTAAATTTATATATTATTTTAAAGGGTCCATTCAATATTAATTTTTGCCATAGTTAAAAAAAATTTATGACTAAATAAAAATTGGCACTCCTAAACTTGAGGGAAACATTAATCCCAAAATGTAGGAATTAGAATTTGCTCATAAAATCAAGTTATAAAACGACGAGACGTCAATTTACGTTGAAAATATTTTGACGGGAAAATTTTGAACCCCCACTCAAGCCGAAAAATAAGCAATTTTGTTAGATCGTGATTAATTGTGATTCAATTCATGAAATTTGTCTAATTTTTAATTAAAAAATATAAAGTCCTTACTGGATAGGCCCTGAAATTATGGATAAACTTCGAATCCAATCATCCCTGTGCAATTTTCTCTCTAGTAACTTCTAATTTTTTTTTTTTTTTTTAAAACGTGATTGAAATATTTTTCTATGTTATAATAACTATTCAATGATTGCAAAATTTTCAATTAATTTAATTGGTTTATATTAAAAAAAGTAAATTTTTCTAATGACATAACTTTTTTAATGATTATGGGCAACATTTTACTTACTTGGACACTTTTTTATGAAAATTATTGAAGGATATTTGTGATCTTCGAGTATTCAAACCCTTTAAAAATTTGTTGATATTCTCGTCTCGGTTGTTTGTTGTAAAGCTCACAGAGCCCTTTTATTTTTCTCTCTGTGAATTTTCGCTGTCCTTTTTCTATATAAATACATGTATGATCTTTTCGTCCGTACTGCGCGACACGTGAGATCAAAAGCCAGAGAAAGAGCATCACGGGAGGATCGAAGCTGTCACAGAGGCGGTCGCCGGCACGTCAAGAAAAAGATATCCCTGACCCGACCGAGCCGCATCATCGTTACTTGGCCGTGTGTGCAGCCGTGTTTAAAGAGCGAGTCTCTTTCTCCAGAAGGCTGAGAGAGCTTTTAAACATATATATAATAAAAATGACATATGTAGCAAACAAGCAGAGAAAATGATGCACATTGATTTCGATTTGCAGCCGAAGAAGATTTAGAAACGACACAAACAAGCAATACAGAGAAAAAAAACACACACGCGCGTTTTTACTACTATAATATTACGTACATAGTGCTTCATTCTTCAAGAAGGATAAATAATAACACACCTGCAGCTTGTGATGATTCTTATAACATACAGACAGCTCTTTATATATATTTCTGAGACATACGATTCTCTCGCGCCGCATCATATAATGAATGATCGACAAAATAGATATAAAAAAAAATGCTACTAAAAGATTCGTTTCTATATCAAAGTCGAACAAAATCCACTACTCAAAGCGATCTACATAATAATAAGTAATTATATCAATCAAACTGACCAATGGAGGGATGTGTATCGAAAATGGACCATGGTGAAAATAACAAAGTGAAAAAAACGATTATTTTGTGTTGATATGAATATCATGTTAATTTTTTAAAATAATAAAAAGTTACATTTTGAAAGGCGCGACGAAAGAAATTGGAAAAAATCTTGATTGTTTTATTTCGCTTTTAAGATGTAAAAATTTATTTGTTCTATAATTAATGTTGAATGGAATGAGCTGAAGTTTTGCAAAATGAGTTAAAAGTTTAGAAATTCTTCAATCTATTGTTTTTAGTTGTTTACTGAATTTTCAACACAGAATCACCACGCATTGATTCTTTGTTTATTAATCTTTTATGCCAAAACAAATTGTCTTTCAGATTTATGCCCACTGTTGTAGATAAGTTAAATTTGAAATACTTTTTTTTTGGTATATTTTTATTAGTTATTAGTTTGTATCTATTTCCTTGGTAAAATTTAAGGCTGGTTTATCTATCTTTTCTCTTGGAAGGGCTAATAATTTAAATCAGAAAATTAATATAAAATTTACAATATGTAAACATAAAATTTGTTAATATTTAACGTTTCATGCAAATCTGCTGACCAATTATATTTCTGTTTAAATTATTTGTTTGTTTACAAGACAATGTTGCAGTGGAAATTTTCCATCCTATTACTTTAGCAAAGAAGGTAATTTAGCCCTGTGTGGTGTTGTCTCCAGGGAGGCTCTGCCCAGCAGCATCGCAAAATGCACAAACTGCACACATTTATTACGAAACGACGACTTTTACTGGCGAGCGTAAAAGGTACGGTTTATTTCTCCACGCTTCGGAGCCGTTTAAATTTACAGCCCGAGAGCAGCGCAGCTTCTTTTTTGCTGTACGTGTGTCTGTGCCCTGTAATTACTGCACATAATATATCATATTGAAGGTTGTAGATGAGGTCGCTCCTGTGCTGTCTCAGAATTAATGGAATTTAAATGGAAAAACATGATTAATATTTTAATATTAAATTATTAAATACATAACATGAAGAGCTCTGTTTAATGAAAAACGGTTTTGCACCGTTAGCTTGTAATAAGATAATTTTGCTTCAGTTAAATTAATTAAAATTTCGCTTTTAAAATCATTTTTGAGCAATAAAAAAAAAACAGTTCAGCACTTTTATAAATTAAAAAAGTAGTCATATGTATATTTTATATACTGGCAAATTTTCAAATTGTGATTTTTCTCGGACTCTTTTAATTTCTCCCTAAAAGTGATTTCCAGTTTTAACAGTATGTAAAAGATTTCTTTTTTATTTTATTAGATTTTAGTGTTTTATAATTGCAAACTGAACAATTATTAAAGATTTAAATTCAATATGATTTTTAATATTTAATTTCCAGACACGTTTCATTTAAAAATACTGAAGAAAATAGAGGAAAATATTGATTTAAAGAAATTGACACTCGAGGAGATGATCATGGAAATGAAGAGATTGGGCTCATCCTCGTTGCGAAAATTGTTTTTTTTTTATGGAAAAATTTTTTACAACAAGGTAAAGCCAGATCTCTTCATTTCCTAAATATTTATTTATTTATGATTTGTATAATTATTTTCTTCCCTTTCCATGTTGCTTAATACGTGAGAATAAAGGAAAATATAGAAAACAGAGCTACTTTTTTACATTTTGCAGTTTTCGCAACGTTCCGCCGTGTATTTTTTGTTCTGTCTCTATTATTTGTGCCAATCTGTCAGTTGCAGACGAAAACAAGAGCGAAGCAAAATGATGCATCTCTCTCGGGCGAAATCACAACGGCGACGAGCAAAAAAAAAAAGCGATAATGAAACGGCGAGAGAACGACCCGGCAGCATCAGGCATGCATGCATGATTGCAGAAAAAGGACCCAAAGGCAAAAGAAAGGGATTCTTGCTCGAACTGGAATCAATGGCCGGCCAGCGCGCGCGTTTATTTAGCGCCGCACCGAGACCATAAAAGTTTAGGGCATGACAAAACGTACACCCCATCTCCATCTAGCTGACTGAGAAGATAAAAGGGAAAGGCCGAGAAAAGCAGGGCAGAGGGAATTTGGTCGGTCGTAGGACGCGTTATGCCCTCGCAAAGGTCAGCAAAATCTTTTTGTCTTTTGATAGGCAAAAATAAAAAATAAAATCATGATGCATCTCTTTTTTATCTCTAAAAAATGTTTAAATAATGAGGGCATCCATAAAACCTAATCAGGCCTAAGCTAACTTGCCATGCAATTTTAAATTTTAATTGTGAAAACTTAAGTTGGCATTTGGATCACCCTCAATGTATTATAAGAATCTAATGGAAACAAGTTTTTGTAAATTTTTTTTATTATTTTAAAGAACAAAAAAAAAAACGATAAGTTTTAAAATTTTTTTATTTAAATGTTTTTTTTTATTAAATTTAATTCTTTTAAAATATATTTTTACTGTTATTTAACTCATAAAAAAAGAATAATAGGAAAGCTAAATGATTAATTAAAATTTTGTGTTAATTTCATTTGCAATAAAGGAATTTTAATTATATTGGGTTCATGAACAAGGGCAATTTTAAATCAATTTAAATTTGACGAAGTTTTAAAACTTTTACAAAGCTCTAAATGTCTTAATAAATTATTTCATTTTCATTTTTTATACCATTTTATTTAAATGAAGAAATGTTATAGGAAAAAGTAATATAGAAATTTTCCTAGCTTTGAAGTTTTAATTCGATCGGTACGTTTCTTCAGTTGTTACACACGACCGCGTACATTTCTGGGTGTCTGCATTGACCTTTATGTGCTATTTTTGGCACACAACGCCCCAAAATGCCTCTCAAAATGAAAATACCGAACGCATTCGGCCGGCTATTTTTAGAATGAAAAATATCCCTGTCCGCACAGTCAATAAGCCGCAAACAGGCTCATCAGCAATTTTAAAAGCGCAAGCGAAAACCACCCTGGTAAAAAAAAATGCGAATTAATCCCTCGGGAGATTAAAAAATAATCGCATTTTTTTCAACGAAGAGAAAAAAGCTCGCGCCGTTTTTAAGCGGTGCGCAACTTTTCCACTTTTTTCCGCCAGAGCGCGGGCCAGTTCAGAAATTCCGGTTCGATTTTTCGCCAGCTGCTGACATCTGCGTGAACGACTCGCCGATGGCTCTCCCGGATAAACATTGTCGGCAGTGGCAAAAATTGTTAATTAAATATAAAAAATCGCGACTTTGGCTTTTGTGAATTTTAAGAGTGGAATTTGACTCAAGTTTTGGTGCCTCGTTTGATGCAATGGAGGATACTGTGGCTCTCTATCGCGAGCAGGTAGATTTTTAAATAATTATTTTAAATAACAAAAACTAATCATATACATACATTGCCCATGAACGATTAATTCTATAACTTGACTCTAATCTAATACTTAGTCTTGGCGCTTTAACTAATATCATATTTAATTGGTAAAGTTATATATAAAATAGAAAAATAAAAAGCAATTAAATGTATATATTTTTAAAGGTTGAAATCAAAATATTAAAAGAAATAAATTTAAAAAAATATAATATTATTTAAATTTATAAGTTATAAAATATATCTTTTTATTTTTTATCAATAGTTTGGTAATAATTTTTAAAATTTTTTACAGTTAAACCAAGTTGAGGCAGCTTTGGTTGTAGCAGAGGATGAAGCTTCGAGGGCGCAACTCAAGGAACTCGAAGCCAACCTTAGAGAGTTGATAGGCCTCACGGAAGAAGAGGACAAAGAAAGACGAGACGCTGAGTGGAAGTTGTTCCAAGTGAGAACTCTTTAATTAATTAATTTTTATTTATAAAATTGTTGTGGTGAATCAGCACACACAAAAACCCCAACAGACTTTAAAATAAATTTATTTTTACCCTTTTGGGGAAACAATTTCTCGTTATATTTTGTTATCTAAAATATTAAAAAAGATTATTATTTAACTTAACAAGAATTCTGCAACTGCGCTGGAAAATTAATTAGAAAATCATTATTCTAAATATTTACTAGCAAAAAATATTCTCAATTTAATTCTATTTTTTCAGTCAACATTACAATTTGATTCCAAAAATACACTAAATTTAAAATAAGATCAAAATTGTGCATCAGTTCAAAGGTTATCATTAAACTTTTGATCATAATTTTGCAATTTGTACCACAACAATTGAACACTTTATAAAATAAAACAAAATTAAAAATGAATTCTTGGTCTAGAGTGAAGTTGGCAGCGGATGGAAGTCCGGGGACAAGTGCCGGGCGCCGTTCTCGGCCTGCGTCGGACTTCACAACGCGATGGTGAGCGCCCTGGAGGCTGAGCAGGACAGCGCCGTGGTGGTTTTTGTGCAGCCCCTGGTGACGCAAATGCGTCTCTGTCCGCACCACCTGGCCAACAAGTGCCGCTTCGATGGCCGCTGCCGCTTTTCCCACGGCCACCGACTGCCCCTTTCGCAGCTGCAGCCCTTTGTCGAGCCCGACTTCAGCTCGGTGGCCGCCGGGGCCGTCGTTTTGGCCGCCGGCGACGACCATTTGTGGCGCAGGGCCTCGGTCAAGGACGTCGAGGCTTCGGGCGAGTGTCATTTGCAGTTTGAACAGTCCGGTGTTGAAATCGTCCTGCCCATGGCCTCAGTGTGGCCGCTGGAGGCGGCCGAGGACAAGGAGGACACCAGCAGTGGCGACGACGAAGAGGAGGAACTCGAGTTTCAGAATTCGATCGTCAATCAGGTTTTGCAGGCTGGTGCTGGAAATGCTTTAGGCGCTTGGGAAAAACACACCAGGGGCATCGGATCCAAATTGATGGCCAGCATGGGCTACATTTTGGGAGCCGGACTTGGAACCAGACAGCAAGGACGAATCGAACCGGTTGAAGCCACAGTTCTACCAGCTGGAAAGTCTTTGGGTAGGTTTTTTTTATTTATTTAAATACCAAGTAACCATAGAAGAAAATTTATAGGTACCTAATTATAAATGATATTATTAACTTAATGAGAAGAACAAAAAATTGCTTGAATTATGATTGATATTTCATTGAATTACAAACAAAGAAAACCACAAATATTTATACGTAATAATAAATTAACATATTTCCTGGACTGTTCTTCAAATATTAATTATTAATTGTCAATTGAAAATGTAAATCAAAGAAAATTTTGAATCAATTTTAATTTCAATAATTCTGTTTGATACAATAATAATGAATCAGGAAATAATTTGGTAATATCACATTTTTATTTCATTTTAATTCATGTATTTTATCATTGGTTTTCTTTGTAATGTGAAGATGAAAAGAAAAAAGTCCCTTTCTTTGAACGCTGGTATATTCTTTGAAAAAATTCGCACATCTGCATTTTGATTGAGGTTTTCCATTGATTTTTGCCGCAGATGAGTGCATGAGACTGAAAGAAGAGGCGGGAGATGATGATCTTTTTAGCGCGGAACGACGCCAACGCAAATTAGAACGCAGAAGACTGAAACGAGAGCAGAACAAAGCTGCGGCTGAGAAAAAAGGCACCGACATGTTCTCCTTTCTCAACCGACACCTCGCCACCGAATCTAAAAAACCACAAGGTGAGCAAATCCATTCCTTTTCAAAAGGCTTCTCGTTAAAAATAATTATGAACAATCCATTGTTTTCTTTCTTACATTTCGATTTTTTTTACAGTTCCTGTCGATGATGGCTTGGCTACCGAGTTAAACGTGCGGAGTTTGCAGTTGGAAGAGAGGATCAAAAGAGCAGTGAAAGAGGAGAAAGATTTGGCGAGCACGGCGGCCAGGGTGGGTGGACCGACTGTTGCGAAAAAATTGGAGGCCAAGAGGCAAGAACTGGAATCGCTGAAAAGCGAGGAAAGACGGGTAAAGGGCGAGCAGACGCGCAGAAACGAGAGGAAAAAAATGTCAGTTTTTTAACCAAATTGTTCTGCGTAATCCAAAGCTGTTGAACTTCTGTGAAAGTATTTCCAATAAATCTTACTTATGTTTCTAAATATTAAAAAATGACACCGGGTTTAACGTTGTTATAGAATAAAATTTAAAATAGAAAAGAAGAAAATTTAATATTTTGTTAAATTACCAATATATTTTGGTTTATCTATTATGTAATAATAACTACATTAATATTCCATGGCATGTGAGAAACGAAGGGTTTTAAGTCTTTATTATGCAAGCAGGCTGGCTTCTTTGATTAATTTTTTAAAGAGGTGCGATCCATTTGAAACGGCTGAAGCACATAATTATTATTTTTATATATTCCAATCAATTAAGTCATTCAAAAAATTGAAATAGGATACAAAGAGCAGAAAGGGTATCACAACTAGCTGCAACTAGCAGAGGTCTGTTAAAACGTAACACTTCGTTATAAAAATTACTTTGTAAGTGAGATTTGTTATTATACTCGTAATATTCTTGTATTGTTATTATAAAATTTTATGGTCTCTTTAAATCCAAAAATTCATTTTAAGAACTTGACTGGTTGTATTTTCATTATAAAGCTGGGATTCAATTAATTATTAATGATGTCACCTGAAATTTTGTAGTTATTTTATTAATCCTGCTACTTTCAATTTTTGAAAAAAGATAATATTGGTTTTAGGCACAAAACCCTTTCTGCCGCACTTGATATTTTTAATAATAATTGTACAAGTTGAATGGTTATCTTGACAATAATTGTAGAAATTTATCAATAATTTCACTTTCTTTTCATAAATAAACGAAGAAAATGGGCTTCAGAGGGAACAAAATGTCATGGAAAATCAATGGCGGGTGGAGGGGCTGCCGTGCAGGAAAGGAAAATTCGAAAGCATCTCTTTCTTTCTTTATCTCTGTGTATGGCGCGCAGGGAGATAAATCTAAATGAAAGAGAGCTCATAATGCTGAATGTGTATATTTTGCGGTTGGAAAATAAGCATGGCTCCGGAAGCGCTTTCAGCGGTGGCAAATTAGCCGTAACCGCGCGCGGCCTAACGAGAGAGAGAGCAGAGAGAGCATCCAGCGCTTGCCGCCCTCTAATTTGCGCTCTCGTCAAGTGCCGCTGATTGCTGCCTCGTTAGGCCCATTTAAATGCAATGTGATCCCCGCCAGTTCTGCCATTCTGTCGCAATAAAGAGACACAAACAAACGTACACGCGCACAGTTTACATTCAGCGGAGATCGTCGCCACCCCCGGAGAGAGGCGCGCAAAACGAGGGTGCACTCCAGATTCCAAGAACACATTTTTATTTGTTTATTTTAAAAGCAAAGGATTATTTTTTAATAATTAAATTTCTTCATTTTATTAGTTTCTTTACGTCTCATTCAAAGAAGCCAATTTTTGAAAGATAAAATTGTTTTTAAATACTTTAAATCGTTTATTTTTCTAGTACATTTAAACCCAAAATATTTATTTTATATAACATTCTTTATCAGACTAGAAGTTTCTTTTTTTACAAAATCTCTCAATTATAGTTTCAGAAATTCACAGTTCAAGTCGTTTTTATTCACACAAACAGTATCTTTAGCGAGTCATCTATTTTTTATTTGTCCCATAATATATTCTATAAAAGTTGTGGACATTTAAACTTTTTCTGCAACTTATGATAGTACTTATTTTTTAAGCAGACATTTAGACTAAAAATTTTATTTTTGTTAATTGCTGTAAATCATTTTTGCTCAAATTCTAATGAAATTTCACTTTCTATTGACAATCTGCAGTAAATTTTATTAGAGTAATAAAATTAAATATATTTTAGAGCGCTCAAAAATAAAAAAATTTAAAATAAGATGTAAAATATGAAAAAAATGAAAATATTAAAAAAAATCTACCTATTTTAGCTAATAATTTTAACACATTTAAATGTAGACTCTATAACTCTGGCATTCAAACACATTAAATGTAACTTCATATAATGTTTGGAATTTAAAATTTATACAGTCTAGAACCTCTCTCGTTGAGCTCTCTGGTGTATATGAATTTCGCTTGTGTGCGAGAGAGATGAACAACGACTAGGGGTGTATAATGTACGCAGATTACAAAAAATCGATGCGAATTGAATGGCAGTGAGCGGCCGAGGGGCACTTGACGGACCGCCCCTGGCTGGATTTGCAATCAACAAGCAATCCTCGCGCTCGGCTATTATTATTTAGCCGAGCCATTCACTGCGAATAAATAACAAACCGACGGCCTTTCAATTAATGCCCACCGATTTAACGAGGGCTTTTTCAATTTTTTTAGCCAATTCGAGAGCGCCCTCTCTTTTATTTAGCAACAAAAACTTTGCATTCCGCCAAATGTGCACTTGTGGAGAAAAAAAATGAATAAAATTGTGTGCTGAATGCTTTTCAATAGGTCGGTACTTTTCTTTCTGTTTATTTTGAATGTATATGATAATGAATAACATTTGCTTGTTTTGTTCTCGTTTGATTGGATGCTTAATTGGACAAATTTGAAATGCACGCAAGTCTAATTAGAGAGTATCAAACTGCGGGCGGTGCTTTGATTAATTCGAGTTTAATTGAGAGAAAGCTCGGCGCAGCACGTTGTCTCGCATTTAACAAGAGAGAATTATTATTCAGTGTGCGCGAATTAGTTTTAGAGCTGCCGGGGGAAGCGAATAGACTCGTTTGATGGGATTAGCCGCCACTCGTCAGCAACTAGAGAGAGAATAAATCAACCACTCTCTCGTGTGGCGCACGTTCCTTTGTTCGCACTCCCGTCGAGGCGTTAAAGTCCGAATTTATATTACTTTTGCAACTTTTATACTTATAAGCGACCAAAAAAATTCAGTAATTTTAGGCTGAATAACATATCATTTTTTTTTCTTTACGCTCCAATGTCTAATAAAAAATATAATTAGAAAGTAAAGTAAATTTAACTTGAACAATAGCAAAAGTTTGAAAGTGAGAAATAGCTGTAAAGAGAATTAAATGATCAAATTCAAATTGGTTATTTTAAAAATAATCAATTTTTTTATTCTAATTGTAAGTTGCAGCTTTAATTTTTTTGTACCACAAAGCAATATCTGTCCAAAACAAGATCTACATCATTATACAAAATTCATTTTAATTCATTACAACATTGAGTTATTTTCTATAATTTTTTTTTAAATTGCACCAAAATTCATTCTGTCTAGGAAATTTAGAAACTATGATCATTCTGGGATCAAAATATTTGTGAAAAAACGACTTTACTTTTTGCAAGCTTTCAAGAAATCAATATTAACTGATATTTTTATAGATATATACTTTGAGAAAATTTGTTCAAAGCAAAATTATAAATTTATTTTTGAAAATCGTATGTTAAGTGGTTCTGTATAAAAGAAAAGAGAGAAATCATAGGAAATTTACACTTGAATATTTCAAACTAGAAAGAAAAATTAAGAATCGTAGGATTTCCTTTCAAATTAAAGTCCCCAAAATTTATATTACTATTTGCAACTATTTGAAAATAAAAGCATAATTATTTCAAAGTGATTAGGATCAATCAAAAGATTTCCAAATTAATTTCACATGAAATGAAATGTGCTAAAGAACTTATTTTTTGTGTTAAAATTTATTCTGACAAACGTCTGAATTGCGAAGAGAGTTTTGCGGTGACGAAACGTGTGCATGTCAACCTAAACCACCCTCTATACACATGTCCGCTGTAAATATATATTTGCAAACGAGCGAGAGGACGTGTGGAGGAGATGAGAAGAGAGAGAGTGAGAGAGATTGTGTCGTGTGTCTGCTGCTGCGAGAATATAATGCCCCGGTAATTGCCGTGTGTTGTTTGCTTTTGTGTGGGATAAACAGCTTAGGGGCTGACAATGGGAGGTTGATTTAACAATCAGGCCTGCTTAATTGCCAGCCCCCGAGGCCATCCAGTCTGTGTGCCTCGCCGGCCGGGTATGCTGCCTGCGCTGCATGCGCGCACAAAACAGTCTCTAATTGGCCTGCTCCTCTCCGCGCCGCCACCCCTAATTCCTCCACTAGCTGCAATCTCGTTCCGTCGTCGCTATTTCCATATATTTATTACAAAACGCAAAATCCCTGTTTTCCACGTTTCTCGCAATTCCAGCCGCCGGCTAAACGCATCTACTGTAAGAATTTAATTTTAAAAAAAAAAACTTCTTATGTTACTCAAAATAAAATGTGCAAAATTCTTTGCAATTTAAAAATAAAGAATTGGACATAAAAACAAAAAAGTTGAAATAATTAGTCAGTCAGAAGATATATCCAAATTAGTACAGAGATTCAAAATGAATGACACAATTTAAAATATAGTTGGTGTTATTCAGTTTTATATCAAAAATAAATTTTTTTTGGCTCTAATCGTAAATATTTACTTTCAAAACTACGACTATAGTAGCTTTGTTGCAATTAATTTTAGATTATTTTATGCTTTTTTTATAGCAAATGAGAAATATAGCAATGATTTATATTTGTATAATATTTTAATCGGCTTAGCAAAATGGTGAAAAATTCTCTATTTAAATTGCTGCAGTGAATATGTGAAACTTAAATTTCATCATTATTCGACTACCCTCCCCCACAATGAAGGACCTTTCTCTAAATTTTTGAATTTATGTTCGACTTTTTTTGCGGGCAATTAAAATTTATACTCTATCGTTGACAATTATTGAACAAATATCATTAATTACTTTTTATTTTGAAGAAAATGCTTTTGAGAACATAAATGCATTATTTTATTTGGAAATCAGTTTTCCGTTTAAATTTGCTAGGGAACATGAATAACTAATAGAAAATATCCCATTTATATGACAATTAAAAGAAAAAAAACTTGATCTCATTGACTACTGTTTTGATGAAATTATCTCGTGTTTTCCAAAATTTGAACCTTACTTGTCACCAATTTTGTAAAAATGCTTTTTCATTTATTTGTTGGTTATAAAATTTAAAGGTGCTGAGAAACTATGAAATTAAATTTTTAGAGCAATTAATTTCGAAGATTTTTCCGCAAATAAATGTAACAAGGAAAAGATGAGGATTATTGGTGCCTACTAGCCGGAAAAGTGCTGCCGAGCGGAAAAAGGTTTGCAATAATCAGCAGAGGGAAAGAATGAAAAGATGAGTGCCGTTTTAGGACAACTATAGGATGATTTATTTCTCCGTTTGTTATGTATTCATTCGTTATTGTTACACGCACAGGTGCACAGACAATGATTTAGGTTGAGAAGCAGGAAGGACACAATGATAAATAAATGCAGACAGGCCGCCCGTCGTCTTAAGAGTCGAGTCAACCGGCTTAATTTAATGGCCTGCCTATCACAAACTCGTCCGTCTCACTCGCCCTGCTCCACGACGACGCTCCTCGCTCCCGCACACACTCACAAAACATTATTTTTTTTCTTCCCTTCTTTCTCCGCGGGGCCTCCACTTCTCTTCTTCCCCTTGCGGCCGACGCGAATGATGCAAATGCGAAAAGTTTTTCACCGGGAAAGAATGGAAAATTTCGCTTTGCACAAATCGATCTCTTTTTCAAATTTCTTCCCAATTTATTTTCAATTGAAGTAGGGAACGGTGCGGAACAGGGAGGGCAGGCCGGCGGCCAACACGGCCGCCCGACCCACCTCAAGCAGGTACGGCGAGGCGGCCGGACAACACGCATCAGCCTCCTTTGGGCCTTCATTTGCCGCCGCCGAAGACGAGGAAGCCGTCGCCTGCTGCCGCAATTGCTCCAAACGAAGTTGGTTCTGCCGCTTCCATTTGGTCCTGATGACAGAAAAAATTAATTCATTTTCTTTCAATTAAAAATTTAGATAAATTTTGCAAACAAACAGATATTTAAAAGTAATAAAAAAGCCTTTTAATAACAAAAATTATAAATAAATTAGAACAACAAATTGGGAGGAAAGCTTCGGCAATTTGAATGTATGCAACCTGGTCGGCACATGCGACGGGCGGGTTGTGTGACTCAATATCATGAAGGCGCATGGAGTTAAAATCTCCTTTGCGTTCGATTTCAAAATATTAGGGTTATTTATTTAAATTCTTCTCCTGTTTTCATTAATAAAATATCCAGCAATATCAACGATTTCATCGTCTTATAAATAAAAGATATAATAAAATTTTATTGAAAATTGAAACTCGATAAGCGCTGTCATGAAGATATCTTCTAAGTCAGCAATATTTCACATTTCCCCATGACAGATGCGTGACAGGAGAGTCAGTTTTTTTCTCATTTCATTTTAAGATTCAAAATTTTATGGCAACAAAAGTGTTCATTTAATTTTACTTCAAATCACCTTAAATTTTATAAGCGCATAGAAGATAAATATTTATCTCTAATCATTCCAATAACATAAAAAAGGTATAAATTAGTAATTTTGCATTTTTCTTTTAGAATGGACAGTGGTTTATTTAATTAGTCCGTGTTTTAGAATAAGTCAATATAGTGGTGTTTGCGAGTGATTTTCAACGAACATTCCGAGTGTTTATGTGACAAAATGCGTTGAAACTACTTGAAATGAAAGAAATCAATAAATATTTTCATCATATTTGAAAAACCAATGCACCGCTGCAAAAAAAAATGTAATCAGAGATCAGGAATTTTTATAAATATCCTCTTTCCTCACAACCAGTTCTTACAATTATGAAAGACTGACCTTCTGTTTTGGTACCAGGTCTTGACCTGCGTTTCGCTGAGGTTGAGGGCGTCGGCGACGTCGCCCCTGTCGGCCACCGAGAGGTACTTCTGACACCGGAACTTGCGCTCCAGGTAGGCGAGTTGTGCGTGCGTGAAGGCGGTGCGTCGGCGTCGCGGTTTGCGTGACGCTTGATGCGACGCCTGCGACGGCGACGGCGATCGGGACACGCTGCTGCCGCGACGCAACGCCAAACTCAAAGGGTGCTGCAGCAGTGCCGACACGGCCGCTTCGTACTCGGCCGACACGCCTGCACCCTCGCAACGAGAATCTCCTGCAAAACAATTTGAAAAATTTCCAAAAATGAAAACAATTGTTTTTAGTTTTATTCTTTAATGAACATGGAATTCTAAAATTAGCAAAATTTTCAAGTTTCAATATTTTTAAGTGTTTGTGATATAATTAATTTCTTTTCGATAGTGTCGGTTTATCGCGGCGGCTGAGTCTCTTTATGTCAGGCGTTTTAGCAAACATCTGCTGTTTTTAAACCCATCCTTCAATTTTTTCAAATTAAAATTTTTTTGTATTGACCGAAAAATAAAAAATAAATTAATATAATATAAAAAAAAAGATTTAAAATATATAGCCTGGACATGTAGAGAAAATTATTGATTATAAGATTATAAATAGTTACCGGTATTTATTAAAATATCATAAAACACTTAATTTGTACTGCAAAAAATCTAAATTGTTAAGTTGGATAATTTAATTGGTTGAATATTATATTATTTCTTTGGCTAGATTTTTAAATTACGAGACTGGTATTTTCCTGGTTTAATAAATGTTTTTATAGAATAAACAGCCCGATTTCTCTTCTACGTGGTGAGAGCCCCAAGCAGAAATTTCGTCAATCAAATTATCGCCAAATTTATGATTAAATATTTACGAATTTGGTGAGTTGAATTTTAACAAATCTATGTGTTCCCAATTTTATGTTTCACTTTCAATGAGTGTTGGTTTTAAATAAAAAAAATTAAGAGAAGAATATATTTATGCCAAGTGGAATATTAAAATAAATCTAATCTAGCTGCAAAATAAAATTTACGTTAACACAAAGCCCTAAATTATTAAATCCGTAAAAACAAATTTGTCAATTTCACATGCATGCAATCAGTTAATATCTTGCAAAATTTCAAACTTTTTTACAATAAACATAGAATAATTTGCAAATTTGCAAAAATTATTTTTCAAGTTTTTACCTGGCTCTGGAGGCAGCTGCGGGGGCAGTTGCGGGGGCCTGTCGATGACGTCGGAGAGCAGGTCTTTGATGAGGAACGAGGATCTGCAGTGGTGCTCGGACATGGCGCGAATGAGCCGCCCCCGGTCCATTGGCCGCGCCACGCGGGGCAACGCCCGCCTCCGGGGGCGGGCCGAGCGTGCGCGCCTCCGCGAGACACGCAGCAGGCGGCCAATCGGCCCGACGGCCGCTGGCGAAATCTCGCCGCTTTTAAGGCGACACATCTTCTTGTTCTTGGCTGCTTTTCACCTCCACACGCGTTTATGTATTCTCGTTTTCGGTAAATAGAGTGGTGCGCCGCCGAGGTGTTTTGCCATTTTTCCGAGAGCGCGCAACCCCCCTCGTTCCTGCTTTTATATTATACCTCGACGAGAAAGAGCCAAGAAGTGTTTCGCAAGGCGTACACGTTTTAATGGCGCCCCCGTGCAACCGGCCGCAAATAAATTAACACACTGCTTTTTCGCTAACAATTTGACGAGGACAAAAAGGGCCATTGCCGCAACACAACACACACGCGCAGCAATTAAAAAAAAGAATTGCTGGTACGCATTTTCTTAATTAATATGACCTTCATTTGTTTAAAAAAAAAGTTAATTTCCTAAACATTTGTAATTAATTTTCTTTAAACAAAAATTGTGACCAAATAAAATGGTTTCTCTATGAATAATTCCTGCGTTCATTCAATTTTAATCTGAATTAAAAATTAAAACCTGAAATCTGGGTTTTATGAAAAATTGAATCCAGGCTTGTCATGATACATATTTAGGATGCAATTTTGAAGAAAAAAATTGTTAATTCATTAATTACATGGGCTCTAAAATATATTTTTATAGCAAAACAAGAGGCGCAGAATCTATTGAGCAAAAGAGTCAGTCAAAAGCTCCATGCTGCGAGTTTTCTGGAAATTTCCATAGCAATGAACCCTCTTAATCTTTTTCCGGCAAGAAGGTTAAATTAGCTGTGATGAGGCCTAAACTCACAAATGCATCAGTAGAGCGACAGATGGTTCTGAAGTAATCTCAGAAAGATCATTTGGTTCATTTCCATGCACCAAACTCATATCTTGAATCTTTTTTACTGCATTTTTTTTCTAATATATGTATTCCTCCTCCGTTATTTAGCAAAGATATTAGTTAATCCTTACAGGTTTTTAAAGTACCAGCAGAACAGAAGATCGCTTTTTTCGGGATTTAGGATCATGTCTTTCTATTTTTAAAAAATTATTTACAACTTAAATTTTTAATTCAAATTTCAATTTTATTCAATAAATGCATTTAACAAAAAAAAAATAATAATTACAAAAACGTTTTCTTCAATTTTTAAAATCAAAATTAAGCACAGAGTTTTTTAACAAAATAATCAAATAAAACTTGCGATTAAAACAAAATTTATATTCAACAATATAATTATTTACAAATAACAAAATTTTTAATTGCTGTATATTTTTTTTAATAAATTGAATCCTCTAATTGAAATACAATATAATAACAATAAATAAATATTATAAAAAAATTGTATTATGTATAATTCCATAAAACAAAACAAAAATGGTGCTCTACAAAGAATAATATGTAATGAATCTGACGGTGAGTTTATGATAATTTCCCTGCATATTCTCTGTATCATCTTGGTGCAGACATCGTACTCAAATTAAAATAATTTATTCTTATTATTATTTATTTTTCTCGGTCAGAAAAGGTAAAAAAGAGCAGAAAGAGTTTACAACTCGCAGATGTCAGCTAAAACGCCCAACATTTTAATTGTTGTGTAATTTATGTGTCCCCCGTTTGCGATTGCAGTATAAAACTGTGTAATTTATAAGGGATTTCTTTTCAAAAGAATGGCAATACTTAGGTTGTCATATTGAAATTATTAAATTACCGTCGGTCTCTAAAACAGTCTGCATCGAGTAAAATAAAAGAGGGACAAAGTCAAAAGCGCTAAATGTGAATTAATTGGATGTGGCTGTTAGATAAACAGAGCTGGGGTGAATGTCACGAGATGCTTCATCCTCTCTTTCACAGCATAGGTCTTCAGCACTAATTGCGACGCGCGCTGCTCAAAAGGCATCAGAATAAAATGTCTCTCTCGTACAAAAGAATAAATTAAATCAGAGGTCGACGATGAGAGAGAAAAAATCCGACCCTATGTTTTTAAACGAGAGCGTTTTGATCATTTAAAGAGAGAAAGAAAAAAAAATCGCCGATTTCGTCCCCATTATTGCAGCGATATGAGAGAGAGATGAGTCGGGCGTTTGACACTTGAAGCCTCTCGAAATGCTCAGTAATGAATCAGCGGGATATCGCCGAGCGGCGAAAACGGTTCGCGCATAAAAATGAACCTCGGCGGCGGCCCACTCGATTTTTATTTCAAAAGCGACGCGTTCGCAGCGGGGATGGAGGAAAAAACTTTCGCGGCCATTAAAATTAATTCATGCAAAAGCGACTTCACTCTGTGTGCAATCGTACTGGGTGCACGTTTTTCGCCTGGCGCCTCCCCGGGTATAAATTGCATGTTTATTTTTTTTGCAAAAAAAAAGCAGAAATTTAGGTAAATATAAAAAATAATATATAAATAATTAAATGTAAGTGTTTTTCTTGAGATTTTATAAAACAATTAAACGACCATTTAAAAAAAGTGCTCTTAGTTAATTGTTAAATCTTTGCAATAGCAATTTTGGATTCAATATTTGTAAGGTAAAGAAAAAGGTTTGGAGCAAATTTTTATAGCAATCTAATTAATCTGATTGGTTGTAAAATTAATAATAAAAGGTAAAACAATTTTGAATGATTGATTACTTATTTACTAAATCAACCAAGGCTCACCGTGAGATAGATGGTAAATTTCTGGTCTTTAGAAGTTTTGGCACAATATTTGCCTCTTTGTCCACCAATTCAATCAATTTTTTTTTTCTTAAAATATATTAAATTTTTGTAATAATTGGAAAATAAACAATAATAATAATACAAAAAAACGATATGCAAAAGTAAATTGTGTTGAAAAAAGTGATTAAAACTCAACCACTGCGCTTATTTTACTCACTCTATTTTAACTGATTTTTTTTCAATTAAATGGAGATCTGAGTTTCCTCCACCTGTGAAATTTTTGCTTGCTTTAGTTCAATATTTATTTCAAATCTGAATTAAACTTTTAATTTTATTTTCGTCAGCAGCAATTAATAAAAAAATAATAATTCTTGAATATAATTCAATTATAAAATTGTACAATTCTAGAATGAAAAACCGCATCTCAAAATCTTCTTGACTAAATTGAGGAGACACAAATAATTAAGGGATATCAAAACAAACAAGCGATCTCGTGGGTATTAATAATTATTTCATCACCATGTATTATATCTCGTGTCTCATCATGTCTCTCGTCGGCCGAGAAAGATGAGGGTTAAGCGCCGGGGTCGTTAATTATCAATTCAAAACGTGTTTCACCTGAGCGGCTCAAGTGCCGTCGTCTCTCTTTATTCAGCACACACTGACTCATTATTATTCGCGTGCATCTCGCTCGCTCTCTCTGCTCCTTGTGCTTTATTTATGCAAAACGCGGGTGGTTATATTTATACCGCCAGTTTTGTCCTCCACCCCGCTCTTAATTAACGAGCGGCGCGCGCGATAAACAAATAAATTTATAATGAGCAGCGATCGCGCATTAATTAAAACCACGCGGCGCGCGTTTTTGCAAAGCTTTTGCGCCGAGAAAATAACTCTCGTCGCCACGCACGGGTTATTTATTTCCTTTCGCCTATTCTCTCTCGTTGAATGCGACGAGCAATTGTGCGGTGTCTCGAATCGCAATTAGCGAGCCGTCCTAATTACAAAGCAATTGAGAGTCAATATACGTGCATAATGTTTGCAGTTATTTTCAGGAGGACGAAATATATCATTGTAGGGCGTAGAGGGTTGAAAACCATTATTCAGTAACAATGGAGTTTGAATTTTCAAGTGTATTAAAAAATAAATATTTGAAAATGTATTTATTTTCTTATTATTTGTAAAAAGTAAACGAAATTCCAGCTTGTTAAAAAAAATTACTAAAACCATTATTAAACATTCGTAAATATTTTTAAATTTCGTATCCTTTTATTATAAATAAAATATTATATTAAATTTAATTTATTCATTAATCTTTACGTGTTTTAAAACATTTATTTATAATTTATTGTAAATTTCATTAATTGTAAGAGAGTTTTTATTTTTTTATAATATCTTTCATACATTATAAAATTTGCACTTATTTAATTAAAAAAAATGTGATAGAACAGTAAAATACAACTTATTTCATGTAATGCATGGACCAATTGAAATAGTTAAATTAATTGATTCATTATTTTCATACTATGCTGCATTTCTTAATGAATTTAACTTAAATAACATTAAGAATTAATGCAACAAAAATTCAACAAATAGATTGGAACAATTACAAGTCATGATATAAAGTTTCAGTACATATAGTTATTATCTTACAAGTTACCTTTTACAGCCCCATAAATTTGCATGAAGAAGAGAGCGCATAACCAATACATGATTTTTGAATGCGATTGATGATAAAAAGATATTCCCGCTATAAAAATAAATACATTTAGAATTTTCTAGTTGAATGGGAGGTGCATAATTCCCACAAACACCAAATTTCATCTTCTCTCCTAATCCTAATTGATTGTGAATATAAAAGTATGCAAAATAAAAACCTTTTCGTTTGAAGAAGTTACCACTCGAGGAGATGATCATGGAAATGAAGAAAATCGGGCTTGTCCTCGTTGCAAAAATTGTTTTTATTCAAAACCAAAACGGCTCTACCAGTTTCAGTCACGGTCTGCACGGTGAGCAAGAAAAATACAAAAAGTCAGCAAAATGTGGTGTTTTTACAATTTTGCTGATTTTGTGTACTTATATTGCTCATGATATAGGGTCGCAGACCGTGACCGAAACTTGTAGAGCCGTCTTGTCTTTGAATAAAAACAATTTTTGCATCGAGGACAAGCCCGATTTTCTTCATTTCCAAAAACCTTTTCAATTTGATTATAAGTTCGAGCAGTTAAAAATAATAATAAATAATTGGCAAAAATAATTAAATTAAAAAATGAATTTGTCTGTGATCATTACTTGATACTTATATAGCAAAGCCCTGAAAATGGGCATTAAAAATTCTGAAGAACACCACAGCAAAACAAAAATATTTCTTTCTCTATTATAATATTTGTACTTTTACGTCTATTATGATTAACACATTTCAAAAAAGAAAATTTTTGAATTAGAATTTAGAAAGAATTAGAATGTTCCTTTCTTGGATTAAAATTAAAATATTTCTTCTCATTTTATATCCCACGAAATAAAACAAACCTGTCCTATTTCATGAACATACTAAATATTTTATAGTTTCTGTAACTATTACTTCATGGAAAGAGATCTATGGAAATGGGCATTTCAAATTTCGTAATATCATCTTTTGCCGAATAATTCTTCCGCCTTTTTTACTCTCGATTAAGATTTCTGTATCTCTGCTGTAGTGGAATTTGTGTTGTTTTCCCCTCTGTTTTTAATCGGGTGCTTGTGAAAAAAAAGAAGATCAAGCGAGGGTGCACGGCGCGCTGGGGATGGTTACGGCCAGCAGGGTCTCGGCGCACATAACGGGCCACTCAAGCCGCAGCCCGGCCACCCCCTGAGCGGCGGCGCTTTTTTGCCACTTGGACATGTCCGCGCGCGCTCCACGCTCTCGTAATTGCCGCAAATCGAACACCAATTACTGTTATACCGCGTCCTTTGTCCTCTTTTCCGTCTGACTTCAGCTATAGTGTGTGTGTTTTTCCTCAACACATACACACGTTATCGACGGATAAATATAATTCGATGCGGCTCAACCAGCAACGTGCGCCACTCGATCTTTCTAAAAAGACTGTCGCCGTCCCTTTTGTCAATAGCCCAATTTTCTATAAAGACAAATGGTATAAAAACTGCGGTGCCTGCACTCGAGACGTGTGTGCGAGTTCAAGAAAAATGTGGAAAAAATGTTTAATCCTAATTTTTTTCCAAAATTATTAAATATTCAATGTATCAGAAAGCAAAACAATATAAAAAGTAAGGAAAATTTTATCAAAAAATGTTAATATTAAGGAGATAAAATTTATTTATATACGACTTGATTAATAAATTTAAAGGGAGAATTACCCAGCACTTAGGATAATTTAATATTATATGCAAATCAGTACAAATTATGCCTTAACAGTTTAAATCCTTAAATTTCAAATGAATTAGGTTCAAATTAACTTCTCATTTTAGATTTGAAACAATAAATATCTTTTTTTGATTAAAAAAAAAAAGATTAAGGACAAAAGGATCATAACGATCATTGGACATTGTTAATATTTCAAAACTATTTATTGTTTCAACTCAGGGCTCAATTCTATTTGCCATGTTAAATTCACATCTAACAGAGCCCAATCTGATGGTGATTATAATAAAAAGCCTACCTTGTCTCTGCTGGGGATGAAATCTTCCGCAATTCTTCGTAATCCTTGAGGAACCCCGCTTACATGAAGATTAAGGGATGAAAAGGCTACCATTTGATGAGTTGAGATGTCTGATAGACATGGGCATGATGATTGCTCACCAAATCAATGCAACACGTTTTCAAATTTCACACGCGAAAGGCACTTTTAAGAAACTGTCCACCGATGTTCAGTTTGCGATTAAAGCGAATAATGTTGTAATTCGACACTTAAACCTCTCCAGTTCTCCACTAACAACTCGCTCATGAATTCATCAACTCACAATCAGTTTTCACACTTTTCACACACTGGTTGCTTCGAGATTTTGTTTGTTTCTGATTCATTATGTTTTTCTCCTGTTTTGCTGTTGCCAACCTTGCAACTAGATTTAGAGAGGGGAGTGGATATAGAGAGACGAAATCAGAAATAAGAATGCGTTGTAGATGATTCACTTGAACCAAAACACGTTCGATCTTGTTACAAAAATGTCATGCCTGTGACTGTAACTGAACCCCGCCGATGACGCAGCTTTCGCTAAATGTTCTTGTTCTTCCTCGTTCCTCGTCATTTCTTTCTGTTATTTTAATGAATCGTGCGTGAAAATATACGCTGAGAGCACGAAACTTTATTAATTGATTAAATTCCTGTAAAATTCATTTTTGAAACACGAAGTCAACCGTAATAATTATATTTGTCATCTTTTTTTCTTCGTGACACTTCCTGATTGGGGAAACTGATGGAACAAAATGATTTTTCCCGAGACTCTTGGCATGTCACGTTCTGCTGGAAGGAAAAAGATACAATTGAACGAGCAGAGGAGAAAAAGATCGTAAATTATATCCATAACTGCTTCTAAATTTTCAACGAAAAACTTGCTCTATACAGGTAGAATTGTATTTTTGAATTTAAAAAACTCATTGAACCATAAAAAGAAGCTTTTAATTATGTGGAAAAGAGCAATAAAAATATATCAAGATATATGTATTTTATTTTATTTTGTTTAGTTTATTCTATACATGAAAAAAAAATTGAATTGGAGAAAAATTAGCAGGAAGAGTATTACAACTAGCAGAGCTGATTTGAAAATGAGCAGTGTGAATATTTTTGCCTTTTAATTGAGCTCACAGGTAAAAAGGAACTAAAAAAATATAATGCAAAAAATTATGATAATAATTTTTTTCTTTTTTCTTTTTTTTGCCATTTTATAGTAATTGCCGAGCAAAATGTCAAACGGGTTGGCTGCGGCGCGGGGGAATTTGCGTGCTAAACGCGGAGAAAAGTCGTGCTAGGAGGGATGAAAAAGCGTATAATGCGAGATGGTGATGCTGCGAGAGAATATTACGCAGCACGACTCCAGATAAATGAATGCCCTTTGCTTGTGCGCGCAGGGCTCCTCTGCTCTGCTCTCTCTCCACTCGAATAAAGAGGCATCGCTGAATAAATTGCGAGCCGCATTCAACGCAGAATTAATTAGAAAAACACACACACGCACAACAACCTTTCTTTCTCTTTCTCTCGTCCCGCGACCCCCGCCCTCATTTAAATACGTACGCGTGCATATTCATGCAACCGAGCCGAGCAAAACGACACAAAAGCGCCGGCTGGAGAATTACTTCGCGAAACAAATGCATATGCAAAACAAACGTCCTTGGTCGTTCATATACAGACAAAAAAAATATAATGTCTCACATTTATACGTCCCAGATGCAATTTCAGGCGTGTATAATAAAATTGCTTCATGACGAAAGAAAGGAAGAGAGAGCAACGACTTTTCACGCTTGCCGAGAGCCGAGACTGACACTTTATTGTTCACACAATCCCTCGACGACGTCTTTCCTGAAGAACTTGCACAGTTTCGCGCATGTAAAGTGTATTATTTTGTTGCGAAAAGCTAAATTTGTTTTGGTTGAAAAATAAATTCAGGCCATTTGCATCTTTTGCTGTGCAAAAAAATTGTATTTGTGAATAGTGTGAATCACAGTTGCAAAGTTCTAAAAAGCTTGAATCAAATTTACTTTTGATCATGATTATTATTTTTTTATTTACTTATTTTTTTTTATCAATAGTCGTTTAAAAAAATAGTTTTAAACTCTATATACTTTAGTATTTTATATTATTTTTTTCCAAATTATAGTAGGCAAATTTTACAGTTTTTGCAAATATTTTTTTTATTAAATATTAGTCATGGTCATCATTTTTATTCTCAATTATAACCTTAATTTTCATAACAGAAAGGACTCAAAGGTCTAAAAAGTTGGTCATTTAGTTTGTTTCTCTTAAAGCTTTAGTTGGAAATTGAAGAACTTATTCGGTTTTTAATGGGTGCCAATAACGCTGCAAATAATGCAGTTCAGTAGTGGAGATTAAGAGTCAATTGAATTAAAATGGAGGAACCTTCTTATTATTTGCATAAATTTTATTATTTTATAATGTTGACTGACATAATAGGAAAAATTTTTCCAATTTTACATTTTTTATGTATTAAAAATTAAAATTAACGAGAGCAGAGAACTAAATAGTTTATTCATTTGCTGCCAGTTTTACAAAAATTTATACACAACCATTTTTCATTTTTAAATAACGAATTCAAGCGGAATTTAATATTAAAATGGAAATAAATTTATTCCTAATTTTCACTGCAAAATAATATATTATTAGATTAGAAAATATTGGAAGGCATAAAATACACATCATAAAAGCAGCAATTCAAAATTTATAATTATATAATATACTTGAATTTCTTTCTTTTTTTTACTAATCACTCTTGGTAAAACTCAGAGGAAGCTGCTTTGGCGTTTCTGCTGAAATCCGCACTCCTCTTGATTTTTTGGAAGTATTTGACAATCACCACGATTACAAGAATGTTGTATACTAAATAAATTGGGAACAATTAGAAAAATTTTAACTTTTTCGTAAATTTATCAATTAAAATCTTACTAGTAATTGCAAAGCCCAATACAGACAAGCAGATGTTGGTCATTTTAGCATATTCCGACTTCTCGACATTTCCCTGTTTCAGCAAAATGCTGAGGATACTCATTACGACGACAAACAAACCCAGCGCTGCGTATATTCCATCTTTTATCATATACGGAATTGCCAGCCATCGAACTCCCTGTTAATTGAAAAAAGTATAAATCAATTAATTATTTAAAACAATTCATCAATTTCAGACAAACAAATTAATAATCTTGCCTTAAAAACGCCTAGAATGAGGAGGGCGCAAATAATAATCTCAGCCAGGTCAAAGTAGACTGTAACTTGTTTCATGAATTCAGTTTGCGGCGCTACCAACATTTCCACAGCTGAAAAATAAATATTAAAATAATTTGAGGAGGTATTAATATCCACAAAATCTTCAATTTTGTTAAAAAAAAATAATAATAATAATTAATAATAATAATATACCCTCTAAGAAAGAAGTGTTTCGGTTCGCATCGCTGATCAGGTCGAATGGGTTGTAATCAGTGAACGCTACCCATGATATATGCACAAAGAGGTAAATCTGCCAAGCATAATAAAATATTTTAAATTTTTAATTAAAATCGTAAAATTTATAGCGTTTTTTTTTACAGATAAATATTTAAAATCAAAATAAATTAAACAATCTCCATAATAATTAATTGGCTGGTGTATTTTCATTTTTTTAAATACTTACTTCAACCTGTTTATTATCCAACAGATTATTCAAACTAAAAAAAATTAAACAAAAACTTATTAATCCAACTCACCAGTTCAACAACTGCAATTGTCATTACAATGGTATAGAAAAATGAGTGGCAACATCTTTGTTGGCTCTTTATTTCCATGCTGAATTACCTGAGGATATGAAGATTTTTATGCTATTTTACTCGAAATTTAATTTTACTTACTTCTTAAATAAAATATTTTGATGCAAAAATAAACTTGTTGCTAGCGCGCTTTTTTTTAGCCACCTCTGCGTCCGCGCCCGCGAGTTTGCGGAATGGCAAAAATAATATGAGCAACGCGGCGGCGCCTCTCCCGGGAGCAAATGTCAAAGTCTCTCCTCTTAAATTCAAGCTTAATCCGAATGACCTTGTCACTTCATTCCAAACGAGACACACAAATTTTTTTTGATCGTTTAAAACTGCAACAAGACATGATTGATATGAATTGTCTTGATGCACACAAAAATTACTAAGAATTTTTATTACATAAACTGATGTAGAAAAAGCGAAATTTTTAAAATACTTTCACTTTTTTGGAATTAAAAACAGAAAGAATCTTTAAATGAAATAATAAGTAATAATTTTGCTAAATAAAATTAATTAAATATTTAATTTAATTTATTTAGATTTAATGAATAAACCCGCTAGGTGATTTCAATATTAATTTGCGTTTGTGTTAAGTTTGATCAATAAAAAAATTAATACAATTAATTTATTGAGGAATGAATTATGCGAATTATGATTGCTCTTCACTAAAATTTTATTCACTTACAATTCATAACTATTGTGTACTAAATACTTTAAATCTATTTACTAAAAAATTAATAAAAATTATGTATTTTTAAAGCAAGTAAATGAAGTAAAGGATATTAAAAAGAGTAATAATAATATTAAAACTATTGTTAAATTGACGTTAAATAATAATATTTATTTAATTGTACAAAAACAATTTTTAAATTATTTTAAAAATCAATTTTAACAAAAACATAGTATTTAAATATATTTATTACAACGTATTTTAAATTTAATTTTTCATTTAAATGTTTTTATTTTTTAATTAGTTTTTATTGTATATTTATATTTTTTAATTGTTAATGACTTTTAGGCAGAATCATCAGGCTTTGTTGCAAAATGTGGCAAAATTAGACTTATTTTACATTTTTATTTAATTTTATATTTATTAATTATACTTGTTCCCTTAACTTTTTGTATGTTAAAAATATTTAGCGCATAAACATAAAACAAGGGCATTTTATGCACTCAGTCGTACCTTTTTTGGTGTCGTTTTAGTCTCTTTTTATCGCAAAACGTTTGCGATAAATCCGCTCACTATCTTTGTACGCATTTATTTTTGCATGCGGTGGGCCGCGTGATAACTTATTAGGTCAGCCGCTAGACGTCTCTGGCCGATTTATCCGCAAACAAAACAAGTTCAGTTTTCACCGACGTCTCGTCCTTCCAAAACCGATTAACCGGCAGTGCTAAACAAAAAAACTCCGATAACCGATAACCGTTTCGCAAAAGCGGAACCGATTGTGATTGAAAAGTTTCTGTCTGCGGTGGTCGCCGAAAATGGAGCTGCGGCCGTCGATTTTCGGCAATTTCGGCCTGTAGGCCGCTCTTTTCCGGGTCGTCGGCAACATGACCTCTGACCTCTCACCATGAGCAGCAAAAGGTAACGCACCCTTCGCGTCCTGTCGTCGTCTCCGTCCTGCTTCCGACGCCCACGTTCGAGCAGGAAAATTGCTGCAACAAGTTGGCCGAATTCGGCACAATTTTCGGCATTCGGCGCTGATTTTCTTCACCAATCGGCTGCAGATTAAATTCTTGAAATAAAATCTAGTCTTTTCTGCACTAAATAATTTTCTTGAATTTAAATTTACTCGTCAACAGTTGATAAACAACAGATTGACACAAGGACATTTTATTAAATAAACAACCCGCAAGTTGATCTTTTCACTTCGTTCCTCGCTCGGATAATACAAATTTTATCCATTCAAACTAGAATGGATTCGCCGCACCGCCGGAGTCGGGGAATTTCATCCACGAGTTATTTTTAGAATTTCCATTTTTCTCTGTCAAAACCATCTTAAATCTTAACCCCTGCAGATTTTTTTATAATTTTTCCACTCGACTAATTTGAATTGTATTTTTGCAGCGAGCTGAAGAAGTTGTCGGAGGAGAGCCTCACGAGGCAGCCGGAGGAGGTGTTCGACATCCTATGCAAGTTGGGCGAAGGCTCGTATGGCTCGGTGTACAAAGCGGTGCACAAGGAGTCGGAACAGGTGCTGGCCATCAAGCAGGTGCCCGTCGACACCGACCTGCAGGAGATCATCAAAGAAATCTCCATAATGCAGCAATGCGACTCGCCGTACGTCGTCAAGTACTACGGCAGTTACTTCAAAAACACAGACTTATGGGTATATAAAAGTTTTAATTTAGAATAATAAAACAATTTGCATTTTTTAAATTGAGCAAGAGGAAAGATTTTACTCTTGAATTAACAGTGTTTTGCTCGGAGTGAGCGGAAGCAGCGAGCGACGGCTCCACTTCCTTGTGATAACAACTTAGATTATAACCATTTCGACGTCATATTATAATATATTGCTACATAAATAAACACGCATTTTCAATGATCATTAGAAATTTCTAAAAATTTAAGGTCAACTTTGGATATTTAAATTTCATTTAGACTTTTCCACAATGATTAAATCAACAAATTTACTTTAAAGAATATTTATTAATTTAAATTGATATGCACTAATTTTTGGTGATTTAATTTACATTTGGATTTTCCTCATTGGGGTTTTGAGTCCTTTATTGTATTACAGGAAAAAATGTTGAGCAGGATACTATTTTTTCCTACAAAATAATTATGGACTAAAATATCCATGTAGGAAACTCCAATATGAAATTCAAACCCCATTTTAATCAATGGTGATTTGAATTTAAAATCAACTTTTCCTCGATGTGTTTTGTGAGTTGTTTATTGTTTAACAATATCCTGCTCTACGTGTTTCTGCTTTTCATGAGCTGTGAGATCATTTTGATAAGAATTAGTACAAAAATCAATCTTTTAATATTTTTTCTTTCAAAGTAACAAAAATACACGTTTTGATATACTGACCAAATATGTTAAAAAAAAAATTAATTAAAATGTCAAATTTTGTGTTAAAATTTGTTTTATGTTATAATTTTTCACTAAAAATTGTTACTTTGAAAGAAAAATAATTTTAAAAGATTGATTTTTAGTATTAATTCTTGTCAAAATGATTTCACAGCTCTTGAATTTTGTTGTTGTTATATTTTTTTATTTTCTTAAACATTAAACAACGCACAAAACCCATCGAGGAAAATCCAACTTAAGATTCAAATCACTATGAATCAATCGTGAAATTTCTACCACCAATTAACAAATATTTGTTAAAATAAACATATCTCAGCCTAACACAACAAGAAATTGCTTTTATATGTGAAACCTAAAAGTACTCGAAAACCCATTTATAAAAATTTGGAACTCAAACATTATTTTGTTATTTTCAGTTTATTTTAAAATGAATTTGATTGATTTCAGATTGTGATGGAGTACTGCGGGGCGGGCTCCGTGTCCGACATAATGCGCCTACGAAAGAAAACCCTTTCCGAGGAGGAGATTTCTACAATCATGAGTGACACCCTGAAAGGGTTGGAATATCTCCACCTGCGGCGAAAGATTCACCGCGACATCAAAGCTGGCAACATCCTGCTCAACTCCGAGGGTCACGCCAAGTTGGCCGACTTCGGAGTTGCTGGTCAGCTGACTGACACTATGGCCAAAAGAAATACAGTAATTTTTGACATTTTTTCTTAATAATTGTATTGACGATTTTACTTTTATTAGGTCATTGGAACCCCGTTTTGGATGGCTCCTGAGGTTATTCAGGAAATAGGCTACGACTGCGTAGCCGACATCTGGTCACTCGGCATCACGGCCTTGGAAATGGCCGAGGGCAAGCCGCCCTATGGCGACATCCACCCTATGAGAGCCATATTTATGATACCTACAAAACCGCCTCCCTCGTTTCGGGAGCCGGATAGATGGACTGCTGAGTTTATTGATTTTGTTTCTAGGTAATTTTGTTTTGCTTAAATTTACTAAAAAATTTTGATATCCACTTCTCGACTAGATGTCTCATAAAAAATCCAGAAGAAAGGGCTTCCGCTTCCGAGCTTTTACAGCACGAGTTTATTAATTATCCCAAGCAGCCCAATATACTCACGCAGTTAATTTACGAAGCCAAGGATATTAGGGAGCAGCAGCAGCAGGCAAGAGGAGTGCTCTCCAGGACACACAACGATGACTCGGTTTGTCTGATTTCCCTAATAAAACCTATTTAAAATTGGCTTTCCGAGTTGTTTTTAGTTTTTTAGAAAAAAATGAAGAATACAGGATATTTTTTTCTGCAAAACTCCATCAAGGAAAAGCCAAACTCCAATTCAAAGCGACTTTTCTTTAAAAATCATTTTTTTTTTAATTCACATAGTTCTGATTATTCCATAAAAAATAAAATAAATAAATTTACCATTTTTTTTTTTTTTAAACAGGATGAAGATGACCATGGTGGCACAGGCACAATGGTCCAATTCACCCCTGACAGTGGCACTCTTGTACCCGAAATGTTGAACGAGAATCGTGACGACAGAGACGAGGGAACTTTGATGCCTCAGTCGCGTCGTTCTGGCACCATGGTGGAGCTGGCCTCCAATTTGGGCACAATGGTCATCAACAGTGATGATGATGACGACGACGAAGAGTCCACAATGAAGAGTGGGTTTATACAAATTATCCAAACGTATCCAACTAAACAAGTATTTCTTTAGGACACGACACAGGGCCTGGAGAGTCAGGGAAAAAATACAGGCCTCTTTTTCTTGATCATTTTGACAAGAAAGAAGCCGAGAATAATAAGGTTAGTTTTTATTTTTCTTCTGCAAGTTTCTTAAGTTTTTTTTTATGTGTTGCCAAACTCCAAATATTTGGCACAATCAGATTGCAACAATCGGTGATAAAAGTTAGCCAAATCCTTTCCATGATAAGCGAGAAAACAAAGCAAGTAGCAATCTGACCCCCTATGAAATCTAATCTGCTACTTGATTGCTTCTTGCCTCGTCAGCGAGAATAGTCAGTAGCGTTTTGACTGACAGTGCAAATGTGTTGCAGCAGGGTAGCAATGGGACGGTGTCGGGAGTTAAGAATGATACCCAGTTGCCGGCCAATTTGGACGATGTGGAGGAGCGAGAACGCTTCCGGTCGCAATTGCGCCGCCAGTTGGACAAAATTTCGGCCTCACCAACGGCGCAGCAAAACCAGCCTATTGTGCAGGCGCCTCCGCCTCGACCCGACGTGAAGCTGCAGCGGGGATTCGTTGATGGCGATTTCGATTTTGTAAGTATTTTTTCCTCCGCATTTTATTTATTATAGTACGGATTTAATTTAATTTGAAGGTAAACTAAAGGCAGTGTTAGATTGAAGGCAGTTACAAAAAGAAGAAGTATGGGACATTTACTCAATCATTGCTTTTGTAGTTTCAAATTAGTTGAAAAAAAGTTGCTAGTCATTTCACAGCACAGAGTAATTCAAACATTTTATGTTTCTTTCAAAAGCACTTGTCACTTTGCTTAAAAATGCAAATTTATTAAATCATTATTATAAAAAAATCTTTAAATCACCCGGTAATGGGAGATTAAAATTTAAAATTCATCCTGTTTTTAATGTTATTTTGAAATATCAACAACTTAATATATTTAAAAAAAAAATTGATAATTTGCAAAAAAAAAAAATGTCCCAATCTTCCACCAGTTTTCATCTCACTTTTGTGTTAATTGTTTTGTTTTGTTCGCAAGTTGATAGTTTTCCATTTTTGTTGGTATATAATTGTTGGGCCATAGTTAGCGGTCGTCGCAAATACATAGATAAAGTGACCAATTTGCGGTTTGTTGGCGGTTTCAGCTCAAGTTCCTGAGCTACGACGAGCTGCAAACGCGCATGACCAACTTGGACAGCGAGATGGAGCGCGAAATCGACGAGCTGCGGCGGCGCTATCAGAACAAGCGCCAGCCCATCCTCGAGGCGATGGACCAGAAAAAGAAGCGCCAGCAAAATTTCTGAGAGCCGATTTGTTATACTAATATTAATTGTTAAGAGCCATATACCCAAGCAATAAAGACTCACTTTGAATTTGCAAGTGGTGCGATAGTGATTCCGCGCGAGTTTCGTTCGTTCGTTCGTTGTTGAATTTTTTTTAATTAATAATTCTTCTCATCAATTGAGTTCGTGTGCGCCAACATAAGAATTGGGGGGTATAATTGTTGAGACTTTTTGATTGAATTTTAGTCTGTCGCCGCGAGGAATGAAGAGCTCAATCAATCATTTTTTTGTCACTAATTTAGCGCCGTCGCCGCTGACTATTGCCATGTTAACCAACGCTGCGAAGAGTGTTAGTAAAAGTACTAATCACGGATTGTAAAGTGCTTCTACGAATTCCCCTGTGCGTCGATCGTTTTTGGACATCCCCCCTCGTCTAATCGTTTGTTTTCCTAAAAGCTAAACACTATTATAGTTTGGAATTGTATATGATATGTGATAGCTTGCGCTCATACTTATCACAAATTACGAAACACCTCTCAGGTCGAACACGCAGATGCAATACACACACACACTCATGTACATGTACACCTTAGAAAAACAGTTTTAATTCTTCTGTTTGTGGAATTCAGACTACGCGTTTTGTTTCACAAGAGCCATATTATTCTTGTATGCTTCACAAAGATAATACAAAGATGGTAATTGAAAATTTTTCCTCACTACGGTGATAATAAACATCAGCACTGACACTTTTTAAGGTATAAACCAACCTGGCTGAAATTATTATTTCTCACAAAATCCCAGCTTACGCTTGCAAAAATTATTTTTTTAAATTTTGTCGAAAATAATTGCACATTTTTTTCGCGCACTGCAGCCCAAAGTGCAAAGTTATGCAACGCGCTCGTCGCACGAGCTTCACGGGCTGCAGCACGCGCTTGCTCAGACATGCCCAACAGCTGCTTTGTCACTTATACGGCCTCAATTCTATATTTCCTTCTGAAATTTGAATACAGATTAGAAGAGTTGTAGACTGCAATAGATAAGCGTTATGACGAGAGCTGTAAATTTACGTAACTTCCTGCTTTGAAAACAGAGGTTGAAGTAAAAAATAATAATTTTTATAACTGAAAAAAATTGAAAGCAGAAAATTTGCAGACATTTTTGGACACTTCCGAATAGGTGAGGCGAAATGCAGAGTGTAAAAATGGAAAATGTACAAAGTTGCAAGTTTTTCAGGGTGGACCTGACCCCGGAGGAAAGGTCGGAGCGTGGCCTAGGACAGGAGTATATCAAGTTGCGGACGGCGGAGCGGAGAACTATCGGCGATGAAATTCGAGCGTGAGATGGCAGCATCGCGGCGCGGTGCTTTTTTTAGCAGCGAGTGGTAGGCGGTGCAGTTAGGTGCCGAACGAGCGAGAGCGACCAGATGCCGTGTGCGGAGGAGGCCTGAGACCGCCGCCGTGTGTCTGCCCCAGAAGAGAGTGTCTCTGTGAGTGTGTCCGAAGTGAATCCGGCGGCCAGCGTGAGTGCAGCCACGGCCACGAGGGGCGGCCCCTCCGCGGCCCTTGATAAGTCTGCGCGCACACAGGGTCTGCACTCTCGGAGAGTCTCCGCGCCGCGCCGAGTCGGGGACCGGAAGAGAAAGTAGTGTCTGGGATAGAGGTCAGCCGATAAGATAAGCGCATGGGAAAGTGGCGGCGGCCGCAGCAGCTGGCCGCTCAGGCCGATGCCTGGCTCAAGGAGCGCGGCGGCGGCGCCGCCGACGAGGACGGCGCCGGCCGGTGCCCGTCGTCGTCGGCCTACGACGATGACGAGGAGTACGAGTGCGGCCTCGGCCGGTGGGCGCCGCGCTGGATGCAGGCGCTCGCCTCCAAGCAGGCCTTCCTCGCCGTCTTCTGTGTCACGTGGGTGCTGCAGGGCATGTACTACACCTACTTCGTCTCGGTCATCACCACCATCGAGAAGCTCTTCCAGATCCAGTCCAAGACCACCGGACTCATCATGAGCGCCACCGAAATCGGACAAATCGGCAGCTCCCTGCTGCTCACCTACTACGGCGGCCAGGGACACCGGCCCAAGTGGATAGCCTGGGGCATGGTCCTTTTCGCCGTCTCCTCTTTCAGGTGCCTATATATTGCGTCGCAATCACTTCTTACTTTTTTTGCACTTGATACCGATGTTTGACTTGAGAGTAAACATTTTATGTGAGGTGCGTGTATAATTAACCTCTGCGTGCACTGTCCACAAACACACAGATTACACCAAATCGGTGTTTGAGAGTGCCGATCCCTCAATAATTCCGATAAAAACTATCAGATTGACTGATTAGATTTTTTTCCACTCTTTCCAGTTCAAACCTGATCTTTCTTTTCAAATTAATCTTCCCTCGAAACAATCAGGGAACGAGTTTCTCGCGCCGCTTTTTTACAATTACAATTATTGACTTGCACAACCGTCTTCTGCGAACGCAGGTTTGCGTGTCTTCAAACTCGATTCAGCCGCGCTCGTGTATTGTTCCCTGTTTGAAATTTAATCACATGCAATTCTTGTGCAAAAAGTGTTTAAAAACACCCTTTCGCGCGTTTAAAATAATGCAGTTTCGTGCAGCGTACATACTTATTTACACTTATTTTAAATTATGTTGCGTCAATGAACTTTACTGTAGCAAGACTTTAAGGTCAAAAAACCATACTGATACTGATAAGATTTTTCCTTCCTTGCGGTTTATTATTATTTCATTTAAAATAGATGAATATTGATAATTATACAAAAATTAATTAAAACTTATTTTGTTATTTCAATCACTGTTTATATAAATGTGGTTTTGCTTATTTTTTATGTTAGAATTTGATTTAAAATTCTATAATATTACATTTAATGTGTTTGCAAAATTATAAAAAAAGTTAAATATGTTTCCCATAAACACAAAGATAATTATGATATTTTAAATTTTCATGATTGGCTAACGGGCTGCTATTCATGAAGTGGATTCTTACAACAAAATAATACAAACAATTGGTTTAGGATACAATAATAGAGTGCAATCCAAAACGCACATATACACATAATTAATTTGCAAGAAAAATACAATTACAATAATACACAGACGAGGCACCAGAGCTCAGTAGAACCAACCCTGCTTTAGGGTTGCGGCTTGAAGCAGCTACAACCTGAAAAACTGTTCCAAAACATTAATTATTTTTGTTTAAATACCAAATTGGTTTTACTGATCTTCAAAAACGTTCATGAAACCGTTTTATGTTGAAATTTTTTCTTATGTAAATTGATGAATTTAAAGGTAAAATTCAATAGCTTGGTAATTGCCATTTAAAATCACTAAAATTTTTGTTTAGGTTCTTTCAGGAAATTATTTGAAACATTTTATGAACTTTAAAAGTAGTGAGTGATGCAATATAAATCAAATTGATACGTTAAGACTTAATAAGAAATTAAATTTTACATAATATTATAATTTATTATGGTTGAAATTTGCAAAGTACAAAACGTTTAATTATTCTATTGGCTCTGTGTCAAAGGATTTTCACATTGCTTAAAGCAGTACAGCGTATTAGAATTCTACAAAATTATTTACATTAGATTTATTAAAAAAAAAATAATAACCTTAACGATCCAAAATAGTTTTAAGGGAAATTAGTTCTTATAATAAATAGCAAATAGCCATTAATTCATTGGTTTAAAAAGATCTCTTAAAACTGATTGTGGTTTTGGCTAAATATTTTTCAGAAAAGCCTCACATCAAATTATTCCAATTAAATAATTGCGAGATCAAATCTTTAATTGGCCCGCTGAAGTTCTTGAAGAAGCCTTTCCCTGCTGATGCTGTATTCAATCTATCAAGAAATTGGCTAAAACACCTGAATTGGTTTGATGTAGGCAATTTCTAGACATATTTGACCAGCGGGAAGCCTACCTACAAAATGCACTGGCCGCATCTCCTGCGGCTTAATTATTGCGGTTTACGCTTAACTTGCAAATTGGTCAATCAACCGTTTTAGGTGAACAATGCAATCTCAACGCTACAGCAGTTTGGTCCTGTATAATATGTATTACTAAATAATTTTAATTAAATGGCTTTCAACAGTTACAATATATTCATTATTAATTTATTTTTTAGAATAAAATAAAATTAATAACTATAATTTCTAAAATATGTTAACACATTAGTTTAATATTCAAGAAAATAAATAAGTAAAATATAAACAAAACTAATTAAATTTTATTAAATAATAAAATTTAAATATAAAATTATACATTTTAAATAAAGTAATTCAATTAAGTGGAATTAAATTTTAATTCTAAATTTAAGTAAGTCTTCTATTTTGATGGTATTTGATTAATAGCGCGTTTGGTCAAAATACAAGTAATTGCACAACTATTATAAGCTTTAAGTGTTATACAAAAGAATCAGTTTCCCAGTTGGAAAGCTAATTTTTCTCCGCTTTCGACACAATTAGAAATTTCAGTCAATTGTTTAAAACTGCATCTTCAACAAGGAAAAATGCGAGTGAAATTGAGTTTAATTTTGCTTCGTCTGTGTTTCAGTTGCGCTCTGCCGCACTTCATCTTCGGCGACCAGCTTCTGCGAGCGCCGGCGCCGCTGCCGTACCACAACGCGAGCCTGACGGTGAGCGCGGCGGCGGCGGCGGGTCAGCAGCGGGCGCAACTTTTGCTCGCGCCCCTGCCGCCCGACCTGTGCCTGGCGCGCGACGCCAACACGACGGCGACGCCGTGGCTCGAGGTGGAGCGCGTCAAGTGCGAGTCCGAGGAGACCAAGGACTCGCAGCGTCTGCACTCGAAGATCACGGCCGTCGTGCTGGCCATCCTGTTCGTCAGCCTGCTCGGCGTCGGCATGGGCCAGACGGCCGTCTACACGCTCGGCATCCCCTACATCGACGACAACGTCGCCTCCAGAGAGTCCCCTCTCTACTTCGGTCAGTACACCTCAAACTTTCGCCCTTCTACTCGTTTGACTTCTGTCCAGCACTTTTCATTTTCACTTTCCAATCGCCGAGTGCTGGAATTTTAATGCAAATCGTACATACAAATATACCGACGCCTCGCTGCGCAACGGGAATCCCCTCGGCACTCTTTTCGCAATCCTCTCCACGGCTAGTACGACAACTAATTATAGCCTCATTTTTCATTTTGTCAAGCTCTATAAACTATGTACTTGAAGATTTTCCTGTTGTTTTCGTTTTAAAGTTCACATTGCAATGAGTTACTTTAAAAAGTAAAAAAAAAAAATAACGATTATTTTTATCGATTTTGTATTCACAGAAAAATTTATTCACGGTTGAGGGTTTATTCGTGTTGCTTCGAGGAAATAGTTTACGTTTTTTTATTCAAACTACACCAAATTTTGTTTCTATGAAAACAGATAATTTAAAAACAAAATCATGAAATAAGAGAATATTTGTTATAATTTCTTTGGTATAAAATAGTATCTAAAAGTAGATCCATTTTTTAAATAAAAATCTACGGTTTTAATTGTCTTCCTAACAAAGATATGAGTCAAATTACCATTTTTTGTTTTTAAATGTAGGAATTTAACAGATATATTGATGAGGAATTTGGGAATAATTTTGTCTTTTCCTCCCATTTTGAAACAAAATTATATTGTATCTATTTGAACTGCTGTAACTGTTGAACTGTTGTTTGTTGACCTTATTGTTGGTTATTTCCATTTTTTAGAAAGCACATAATATTATCTACTTTGACTATATTCGCATCCAAACATTCAAATCATCCCAATTCACTGAGGCAGCATCTAAAAAAGGGGAGTTTTTTTTAGCCTCGATTGCGAGCAGACCCATGAGGAAAATTTGCACTCTTTTTAAAACTCAGTTCCACGAATTGGGGTGATTTAGATGTCTGCATCTAACAGTAGTCAAAGCAGATAACATTGTGCTTTCTAAATATGGAAATAACCAGAGGTCAACAGACTCACGTTTCAACAGCTCAGACAAATTTATCATAGTTTTAACTCAAATCCACGTGGCGTATATCATTGTCAGCTAATTTTTAAAATTTTCTTTTTTGACAAAGTTACGAGGAAGTTTTAATTTAGAATATTTAAAATTTCATCTTAAAATTACAGTTCAACTTCACACCTTTGTTCTTTGAATAATTTTCCATCTCAATACATAAGATATTTTCCACGTTTTATTTTTCATAATCTTATTTTTTGTTTTTAATTCCCTTTTAAGGATGATTTGCGATTTTCGATTTGAATCGATTGTGATTTCCCTTTAGAGGAGCATAACTAATTTTACGGATGAAAGGCTGGCTGATGAGTTAATCGTATGCAAACGCACACACTATCAAAATACCGTCAATCAATCAAAGTGAAAGTTGCAGCGCGTGTAAAGTGCTAAAGCTGCGCAGTTTCTGTGCCACCGTGTCGGTCGGTCGGTCGAGCGAAGCCTGTTGCTCCTTGCGCCTCCGAATGAACCGCGACTGCTGCTGCTGATTTTGAATTTATGGATAGAGAGGCAGCTGCGACACTCACACGCGCGGTTTTAAATGATGTGCTCGCACGGCTAACAGCACTTTCTGATTTCAATGCTCGCGCTTCGTACCGTTGGCACAGTTAGATAGATCTATCGAGAGTAATTAAATATTCTGCTTTGCCAACTCGCCGCCTCCGCACGCGTTCGATTAAATAAATGCGACACTGCGGTGAAAAAGACTTGTTTTTTAATTCGCTCTGAAATTCATTCTAACAATGTCACTTTGTATTGTGCCAAACCGACGTACGACAAAAAAATAACACTTATTTTGTTTTTGGCAAATAAAAACCTTTTCATGATTTTTTTTTTTTTTTTTACAAATATTCAGCTATTCTTTCAAATTTGTAGACTTTTACAAGAAGTTATTAAGAGTACTTTATAATTATGTAAGGTATTCAAATTAATTTTAACTAAGCCCTAATTGTTACGTTTTTTTCTTCCAAAAGAGACAATTTTTACAAGTATAATTAATTCAGTTGTGCCACTTGTGCCCAATTTTGGAGAGAGAAAAAAGAGTGAATGAAGTCTTTAATTTTGTAATTCACTCCAAAATTAATTCTATCAACGGATCCCTGCGAGTTTTATCTTTCTGATTTTAATATAATGTGACACTAGACGTGACTATTTGAATTAAAAAATGTTAAATTCATATTCTAGGACAATTTTCAGACTTTCTTTTAGATTTTTTTTTCTTTAATACAATTTAAATATACCTGATATTTTTTTTCTAATAAAATTTTCAACAATTTGTATGTAAACAATGTGATGTAACAATTTGGACAAATAAACAACAACAATAATAATAAGCCTAAAATTTCACGTATTTTGTATACAAAAGAGGCATTTTTTAATCAACACACAAAATGAAAACAATATTATTTTTTGCAGCTATCACAATCGGCGTGCGCATCTTGGGTCCGGCCCTGGGTTTCATCCTGGGGTCGGTGTGCACGCGGCTGTACGCGGACCTGAGCGTCGACCCTCCCGTGACGCCGAACGACCCCCGATGGGTGGGCGCCTGGTGGCTCGGACTGGTGCTGGTCGGCGCCCTTCTCATGCTCGCCTCCGCCGCCATGGCCATGTTTCCGCGCCGCCTCCGCTCGGCAAGGCGTCCGCCACCTCCGGTTGCTGCCATATCGGGGCCTGCTGCGCCCCTAGACATAGATAGGAAAAAATATCCTAGCCTAAGAGGTATGTTTGTACATTTTCTCACATAAATATTTAAATTTATTCTAGACAATTTTTGTCTTGCAATATATATTAAAATGCAAATAATTCATTTGATAATTTTTATTTTTATATTGAAAGATATAAAAATGTTTTTCCTTTCAATTACAGATTTTCCAAAAGCAGTAAAGCGACTGCTGCGCAACGACATCTTAATGTTTCGGACAGCAAGTTCGGTGCTGCACATTTTGCCCATCGCTGGCCTTTACACATTTTTGCCCAAGTACCTCGAGTCACAGTTTCGACTGGCGGCGCACACGGCCAATATGATATCCGGTAAGTGAAAACAAATTCCCAATAATTCTCACAATATAATAAATTAATTAAATAGTTAAATAGTTACAATATAAATGCGTTATAATTAAAAAAATGAGACTTTATATTTATTATTTTGAAGTTTTCCTTGTTAATAAAAACAATTTAAATTTTTTTAATGAGGAAAATACTCGCTTGAGAACGTTTCCTTGAGTGCTAACTTCTTCCCACTCGAGATTAATTAGCATTTTCAACCTCTTCAATATTATTTTTTCAATTAATTATTTTTCTTAAATTCTTTTCTGAATTCTGAACGTTGAAACAGATTTATATAAAATCAAAATGAAAGATTCTGTGAGTAATTTCAAGTAATTTTTTGTTTGTACCAGGCGTGGGCGGCATCCTGGTGATGGGTCTGGGCATCATCATCAGCGGTGTATTCATTTTGCGTGTGAAGCCCAACGCTCGTTGGGTGGCGGGGTGGATCGCGTTCACCGCCGTCGTGTACGCGATCGGCATGGGCGTGCTCATGTCCATTGGCTGCCCGATGGACGACTTTGCTGGGCTCGACCGCACCAACGGACACTTCACGCCCGAGTGTCCCTCTTGTGACTGCGACCCAGACAAATTTGGGCCCGTGTGCGGCGCCGACAGCCGCACTTATTTCAGCGCCTGCCACGCCGGATGCTCCAACGTCACGTTGAGTGACGGAAAAGTGACAGGGGTGAGCAAATAATCCAGTTGAATTTAATACAATTAAAATGATTTTAACATTAATTAAATTTTTTATTAAAGGAAAAGTTACTGTTTTTGAATATTTTATAATAAATAAGCAAAATTATATCAAATTAACTTAAAATACTACGTTTTTTTCCTTACAATATTGATAGTACAATAAAATTTAGAAAACTATTTCAGGGCAATCAGCCAATCAAAGTCATATACAAATTTTATACTTAAAATTTTTAAAACTTTATAACTCTTTTTCAGTTTTCACAGTGCTCTTGTGTTACGCCGATGGACAACTCGACAATTTTTACCGAGGCGTCGATCGGCTACTGCCCGCTGCAGTGCTCCAACTTTAAGTGGTACATCGTGCTGTTCTCTCTGTTCGTGTTTGTGCACTCGACGTCCGAGGTGGGCTCGATGCTTTTGATTTTGCGCTGCGTCGACCCGCGGGACAAGGCGATGGCACTCGGCCTCATCCAGTTCGCCATCGGCCTCTTCGGCAACGTGCCATGTCCCATCGTGTACGGCGCCGTCGTCGACTCGGCCTGCCTTGTGTGGGACGTGGCGTGCGGCGAGAGAGGCGCCTGCTGGCTTTACGACTCCGACGTTTTCCGCGTATTTTTCCACGGTTAGTACGAATAGTTCTATTTTTTTTTTTAATTATTTGTTTGCCAACAATGAGCAATTAAAAGAAAAGTTCTTAAAAACGAGCAACAAGCCAAGGTCCGCTCAAGAGCGTGACATTAAAAGAAAAGCGGCACTTCTGTGCTCTGCGTTAATTTTTTAAGACTTATTCAAACATTATTTGACTTTTATCATAAATGGGCATTAAAAGCTTTCGATCGCATATTAAACCTATATTAAATAGTAGTAATGTAACAACGGTCCTCAGAATCAGAAGTAATAATATATCATTATGACAAACTTTGAAATACTTAATTTTATTTTTATTAAATTATTTTAATTATTAAATTGACTGCATTGAATGTAGAATAAATAAATTCACAATTGCTTCAAAAATATTTATACAAATTTTAAATTTTTTTATAAGCAATTGAAATTTTACGCCTATGTAAATTTTCCGGGTTGAACAGTTTTTCGTATTTTTTTCTTTGCGCTCCTGAACCGTTGGCTGTTTATCATTTATTGCGCAGATTGTTTGCTCTCACCGGTTGGAGCAAGATTTGGGCTTATTTGCATGTGCGACGATCAGCAGGGTGACCCAATGCTCTTGTGGGATGCGCATAAATACTGGGCTGAGAGGCGGCCTTGACAAATTTGCACAGATCGGCCGGCTATATTTCAAGGCTGGCATGTTTGCAATGCAATGTGGACTGACGCGGATGAAAGATGCAGACGAGGACATTTTTCATCCTGTCAGTCTCATTTAATTTAAGGGCGATCAAATCCAAACAGCCACACTGATTTTAAAAATTAAAATTTTAAATGATATTTTGCAATAAATTTGATTGGCAAACTACTTATTATGGAAACATAATACAAGTATAATTTTTATCATTTTTATTCAAATATATTTATATAGAAAAAAATGATGATACAAAAAAATTTAAAATTGAATTAAAATTTATGTACATAACTTATTTAAAAAGTTTTTATTTTCATAGTGGTTAATTGTTAATAGACAATTAATTAAAAGTATTAAAACCAATTAATTTTGTAATAATTATGCTTTTTCTTTGTTCTTTAATGTAGCACATTTAATTTGATCAATTATTTTTTATTTTGATATTTTTTAGCTATTTTACTCTCAATTCTTTGGTTAAAAATACTCTAAAATAAGGCTATATGAAGACGGTAAAAAATATAAATTTAAAGCACTATTGTGTACTTGACTATCTCTTTTGTTTCAAAAGAGTCAGAACAAAAGGTTCATTAGCCTCAAAATTTTGTTTGCCAATTCTGAGAAGTGCGGCCGTACCGATTGCCTCATGTTATTGTGATAATTGGGCGGAAACCTTTTGACGTAACAAACACTTGCGGCAATGAATAAAAAAGCAATTTCTCGTTTTCGCAGGAACGACGGGCGGAATTTTGCTGTGCGCCTTTCTGGTCGACCTGATAGTGTGGTACAAGGCTGGCAGCATCTCGTTCGTGGAGGAGCCTGTCGACGAGGAGGACGCCGACTCGGCGAACCGCGAGGAACTGAACCCAATGGCGGCCGAGACCAGCGTCTAAGACTGCGAGTGCCAATAATTAATTAATCAAGAGTAATTAATTAATTGCGATGATAATATTCTATCTCTCACTTGTGATACGCGCGGACTGACTCTGCTGTGTTTGTTGTTATATACTGCATTTTTAAGAAGAGAAGACACACACGTGTGCTGACCACTCTCAGAACTAAACAAAAAAAGTATAAAAAAAATTATATGAATCCGAAACGCGCTGCTGCCTTAAAAAAGCGTGCGGTGAGATGAAAAATGTATGCATTGACTGGAAGCAGGCATCGAATATTTATATAAATGCATGAGGCAAACCGTTTATTTTATACTCGAGAACGACACGGATAATTTTGAGAGAGTTAGGCAACGCATCGAGTCCCAGAGAATTTATTTTGAATTCTGATTATTTTCACTGATAGATTGGTGATTTTATTTACGTGAGTAAAGAGCTGTTTGACAAACTAAGACGCTTTCTTTTCTTCCACAAAATTCTTCTCAAAACCTTGTCTGAAACTTTTTCATAATATTCCACGAATTATATACTTTTTCCTCCTCGTCTCGAAATTAACGGGGCTTGTATTCAAAAGCAGCAGGAGAAATTAAGCAATTTTCTCTCTCGCTCTCTTTGCACCACCCTCAGCGCTCGCTCTGCTTCTCGTGTCTCATTATTTGCGATTCAAATGCCCAGACGGACGGGTTCGTTTCGTGGCCATTTGACTTGGAAAAAGCTAGGACGCATCGATCGTGGTCGTTGACCCTTGCAGAGCGCGCACCCGCACGCATGCACACACAATACAGGTGCACACATGCTTTTCCTGCTCCGGCTTTTTATCAAACTCGCCAAACATCGATCGGCCGGAGATAAATACATTATCGATCGCGCACACACACTCGGCGCTGGCACGCGCCACAGCAAGGTCTAGGACAATAGCGGCCAGTAGGCGTTGTTGCTGATATAAGCTCTATTTATACTGAAATACACACAATCATTTTTATCAAATTGGGCTACACTCGCTATGCTTCTATATTGTTATAATTGTTGTCGCAAAGTGACATTGTTTTCACTGTGATTCACCGACACACCTGCGTGACTGAAATTTCCAATCGTCCTAGTTTGTGACGCACAAACTCTCAATGGATTATTGACTCGAGATAACGATTGAATGGATTATATTTTAAATTAAACGTGGTACGTGAAAATCAATTTTTTACAGTTAAAATAATCAAATACTGGTTTAAAAGGAAATTGAAATTTAAAAATTTAATTACACAGTTCAAATTTAACATCATGTATGTTTAAAAAATTATATTTTTTTTAATTAACTAAAAATCAACTGATAATATTTTATTAAATTATATTTTTATTGCATATATCGCATCCAACTAATATTATTTGACTAATTTGACAATTTTTTTTAATTAATATATGATATGTTTTAAAAATTTGCCTTCATTATTTCACGCTGGAAATAATTTTTAATAATTATTTTCTTCTGATATATTTTTTTTCCATTTTCTCTACGTTTATAATATACGTTCAGGGACGAATAACATTTTTCACAAATAATATAATCTTGAATGCAAATTTGCTCACAATTTTCCACAATATAATCAGGTTAGAGGTTATCCGGTTACGGAAACTGCGGTGATATATAATACACAAGATTTTTTTATTATTATTATTTTCCGAGGAGCACCCCACTTTGCATAAAGTTATACCACGAGAGAGAGCAGAGCATGCACCTACTAAACTAACACACGTTAGAAAATAATAAATTGTTTGAGCCGCGAAGGACGTTGACTCGCGGTCGGTGCACGTCAATTGCAAGAGATGAAGCGTTGAACTCGCGAGTAGCGCCGCGCGCACATGCTAGAAATATTCACATTTGAGCCAATGAGAGAAGGAATAACCCCGGCTGACCCTTCTTTTCCGATGTTGCGTCCACCCCGACGGGGAGTTTGAGGGAAAAAATCTTTTTCATTTTTAGGTCTCGAGAGTAATGATCATTGTGAAAGAAGAGAGACTGAGGACCCCTCAGCTCCAAAAATAATCCAGGGGAGAGCGTGGAAATATTTACAAATTTTTTATTTCCTGTCGTCGCTCGCTTGCTCTCTCTCTCTCTTGGCCAAAGTAGTGTCGACCGCGAGAGAGCGTTGGATATTTAATTTATTTCAGTCAACAACTCGCCGGTCGTCGGCATACAAAGTTGCGCTGGATCGGAATATCTCACACAGCACGCGTGCTTTGGTATCGCCGTCGTTATTAATTGTGGTGTTGTTATTGAAATGTCGTTCGATGCCTGCTGTGGGGGAGCCGCGGTCGAGAGCACCAACCAGCAACCAACCCGGCCGGCACCATCAATCACCGCGACACCGCGACCATCGACTATAACTCGCAACGGCCACGACCTCTCTAGCTTTTCTCAGCCCGCACATGTAGTGACGTGAACATATACCGTGGCGGATTTTTTTCTCCATAATAAGTCGGACAAATGGAAAAAAAACAGGAGAACGTCAAAGAAGGGAAATCGCAGAAGAGAAATTTTATTCATGTTATGGGTTATTGATATTTTTCTTTGAGAGGAAGAATGACACTATTTCTTGGTTAATAAAATCACAAAAATTGATTTGTTTACGTTAAAAAATTTTAAAATAAATAATTGCGTCACAAAAATCTAGTTATGCAACGTGTGCAACATGAATGAGGAGAAGTTTGCCTATATTACTATTTCACCCAAGTCTGGCGAGTCGATAGATTATTCTGATTATTTATCTTGTTTGTCATCAACATTGTTGTAAATACATTAATTAATTACATTTAATACTTAATGAAAGTACTCATTAATGGATGAAATGGCAGCATTATAATATACCAAATATTTTGTTAAATTATCCTAATCCGCTGCAGTGAACCTGAGTGAAAATACTTCTCATTTTTATTTCTTTATTTTTATCCTAATTCTTCTTCTAATACCGATAAAAATTTATTAATAAAGATGAATTGTGAGAATTGTAGAAAAAAGGGTGAAAATCAAGAAAAGTTGAGTATTATTGATTAATTTAAATAATATATTAATTATGCAGAAATTTTTTAATACTTGAGAAGTTTTTCATATTCAAATTGAAATTTTAGATCAAAAAATTATTCCATGTATTCCAAACTGGCCATATACTTAAATAAATGATCGGAAATATTCTGAATGAAAATTGTGCATTGTGCAATGCTGCGAAATTTGTCACCATTCAAAAATTCGCGCCTAACTGGTGGGTGAGTCAAGCTCCACCCCTCACCCCCTCTACCTGTCCCATCCCATTTTTGCCATTTGTTTACAACTTAACATCGAGAGCGCCGAAGTGAAGTGAAAGCACGTGTTATTGCATGATGCAAAAGCAAAATGCAGTTTAATTTTTTTAGGAGAAATGACTTGATTTTGAAGTATAATTTTTGCTGAAATCTATTATTCGTATCAAATTCAACCAGTCAGTTTAAGCAAGTTTAAGGATCATGGTAAAAATTTTCCGTCTCTTTCTGAAATTTTGCCAAGAAAATAATTGTTATGTTTGCGAGTTTCATTTTAGCATTGTTACATAATCAAAATCTGACTAAAACTTAAAATATTATTTCAAACAAAGATTCCGAGAGGGTGGAAAATTGTGAGGAGGATGCCTCGCCTCCTGTTCCAGTCATCAACGCCCTTCAGCAGATCTCCTGTGACCAAAGGTCACCAACTTTTAATCTACCCTAGTCAACAACAGTGGTCAGGGAGAATCTCATCAGGCCAATACCTTCAAATCAGGAGCGTTTCTTCGGATGACCTCGAAAGTGGATCCGATGAAGACATCGAAATTGATTCCAAAGAGGATGTTGTGTCATCTGAGGTGTTTCGATCCTTTCTCTACCCTGAGGAGAACCAACCACTGTTCAAGCAGCTGAACGAGGCCGGAAGTGTGCAGGACATTTTTGTTTTCCTGCACAAGCACAAAAACGAGCTGAACCCGGTGCTCGTCAGCCAGGCTGTCATGGTCCTCTGGGACATGCAAAGACTTTTCCACCAGTTCTGCACTGAAGAATTTTTGGTATTAGCTATTTTTAGTTTTTAAATAAAATAATAATTTTTCAAAATGTTCTCAGGCTGACAGTGTGGCCGAGTTGAAGTCGTACATTAAAGCAGTAAACGGGCACCCGGACTTTGAAGCCCTTCTCAGGTCAGTGGGCGAACACTGTGATGACCTGGGGCCCGACCCACTTACCTGTCTTCTGCTCTACCTGGGGAAAATGGGTGTCGACCTAAGACACCCTGTGATGCAAAAACTGCTCATCGCCGGCAGTAAAAAAATTAAAGAGTTCCCGTTGACTGCGCTGTCTAGATTTTTAGTCTCTGTCCAGCATGGCTACAATATGAAGAGCATCGAGTGGACAAGACCTACTGTTCCAATAGTGATTGAAAAACTTAAAGTATGGAATTATATAAAAATTGCAAAACGAAAATTAATTTGATTGGTTTCAGTCGGTCCAAGATGCAGAAGAATTTCGTCTTCTGACCATCTGCCTCTCCCACTTGACTCCTCAAGTAACTTCTAGAATTTTTGATACTTACATCTGCAAATTGAGAGAACTTCTTGCTGATGGGACTATTGGAAAACACACGCCAAAAGTTGTTATAAAAATTTTAAATTTCATGAACTTTGCTCGTTTCTACAAACCTCCGTCTGACCTAATCAATCACTTGATGCTTTGTCTCGAAGGAACTGTTTCGCAACTGAGATTGGGAGACATTACCAATCTAATAAGGTTGTGTTAACCATCTGCATTTTATTTTAACTGGACTAAAATTCATTTATGACAGGACGACAGAAAATTTCATGCAACCTGCAAAAGTTGCCGAGGAGGTTGAGGATTACGTAATTAATTGTCTGGCAGAAATGGAGCCTCTGACACTGCCAGTGGACCTCTTCAACAGCTCCTTTATAACTTCATCCCCTCATTTCCCTCTGCCTTTAATTGAGAAATTAATTGATGAGCACATTAAGTCCGCCTCGTTTCCCATTAACATGGTGCCTCTTTTCAAACTGCTCCGAAACATCAAAACTCCAAACCGAGACCTGTGTGACCGCTATTGGAATGGTGTGACTGCTTATCTCAAGAAGTTCCCCAAAGACTATAACCTGTTGCTTAATGTTTCTTTTAAGTATATGCATTTCAACAACAACATGGGAGGCACATACAGGTAATTGCTTTTTTTACTTTTATTATCAATAAAGGTTTAGATCTTTTTTAATTATTCATTTTACTTACAGGAACAAGGATTTTGAATCGGTTGCATCGGAAAACTTGCTGGAATTGATGCGCAGTCCTCTGCGCTTCATGACCACCATGGTGTCCAGGTCAAGTTCTTTCCTGGTTGCCTACAACAAAGACGGGCTACCTCCCGAGTTGTTGGAGCAGGTCCTCAACATGGGCAGCCAGTTTTCCATCGTCGACTGCCATAACATTTCCAGAGGTGTGAAAATGGCAACCTCTCTCAAGAGTGGGATGAGAAATCCTGTCATCCTTGACCAGATTGTCAAATTGAGCTCGATGCTGAGTTCAAGCATCCGGGGCCACTTATCTCAAGGCACCAATCTCTCCAATAACGACAGCATGATGAGAATTTACCAGAACATCAGAGGGGTAATTTTTGCCTTTTAAGCCAACATGGTAGTTTTAATTTATAATTAAACATTTCTTAAACTTGCAGACTCCGGGTACTGATCTGCATGAGCAGCTCCTTTGCAACTCCTCGATGATCAAATTAAAAGACCTGACTGGACGAGTGTTGAAAGATCTCTCTGCCTCGTTTATCAGCAACAGAACACTTGTTCCTGCAGCCATGGATGTTATGCAAGAGTTTATAATTCAGGAGAAGTCTGGTCTAATGGGTGTTTCGATCGAGAGATTTTTGGCGTTGCTCTACTCCCTTGGTTTCCACTCCAGTCTGACCGATGAGTGTGTTAAGCACGCTGGTGAAGTAATTATGAGGTATGTAAAAATAAAATTTAGAACTTAGACCTTAGACTGTTAAACAAAATCAATCTGTTTAGGGATTGTGGAAGGTTGAACGTTTTGTCTGTTTTGAACTCGGCCCTCGCTCTTAATTTTTACATGCAAATACCCATGGAGTTAGTGCATTTTATTTTTACGGTGGAATTCCTCGAGCGAGTCGACCGAGAACTTGAATTGTGCTATTCGAGGGTAAATATTTTAGTGATTTTTAAGAAGAACAATAATTACTTGAGTGCTTTCTGCAGGCTGTTTATCCTGTTCGAGTTAGACAGTTAATGATGGAGCTGAATAGAGGTATTTGTCTGGATTTGCCTCAAGCAGATGTACCTTGGTTTCATGAAAAGTACTGCCAGGAAAATATTCACCTTTTAAACAATATCAGTGAGAAAACGACAATTGTTTTTTGCTTTGATCCCTAGTTAAAAAATTCATAATTATTTTAGGCCAGAATTCAGCTATACACAATGAAGTCCTCAACACTCTTTGCAGTGTCACTGGAGGATCTGAGTTTATAAAACAGTCCACGTATTCATCGTATTACTACAACATAGGTATATAAATGAAAAAAAAATGTGAATTTCTAATGCTGAAATTTGTCTCTTTTAGACTTTGAGATAATTTTAGATGAGCATGAACGGCCAATTAATTTAAAGGAAAACAGGAACTTATCAGACAGAGATAACTTATCAAGGTAAAAATAATGGAATTTTCTCCAATCAAATTTAAATTCACGATTTCACATATTTCAGGGTGGCGATTTTGCTTAACAGAGATGCAAATTACACGAATGGGACTGTTCAGCTCAACGGCCCAGTTTTGCTTCGAAGGAGACACCTTGAGATTCTGGGATACCGTCAAGTGGAGATAAGCAGATTTGTCTGGCAAGCAATGTACATGGCAGATGAAGCCTCGCGCCAGAAATTCATAGCTGAGCAAATCTGGCCACACAGAAGACGAAAAAACCCTGAAAATGATTTCAATAGTGATGTCGAAGACTTGGTGCTAACTTAAATTTCATCCGCTTTTCAAATTGGAAAGAGGCCAGTAATGTTTTAGTGCGTCTGTGATAATTGGTGACGTTATCGGTTTCCTATAATTCCCATCCCATATTGAAATGAATCAAGCGTTCACTCATGCTTTGAAATAAATTGTATGCCCTAAGAAAATTGTGCATAAAAAAGCTTCAGCATTAAAAAAATTCATTGTTAAAAAAAAGATCAAATGAATTTAAAATAGCTTGCTCACAAATCAAATCAGTAACTTATAATTGATTTCGTCAGGGAAAATGTGGTTTTCGCGCCAAAATTTGAACATATTTCCCACCCCATTTTTCTCAGAACGCTCCCTAGCGTCGATTCGGCAAACGACGGCGTTTCCGGTTAATGGTGGCTTCGGAAGCATTGTTGTCACATTTTGCTGCGGTGTTTCCAAACAAGCAGAGGCCAAATTTCCAAACATTCATGTTTTTCAACACCGGATTTGCATTTTCATACGGAAATGTGAGCTGATTCGGCTGCAAAGGTAAATTAGGGTGCTCAGGGAGGGTCGGCATCCGCCCTGGCAGTGCTAGACAGTGGCTTGGCTCAAATGACCTTGCGTCTGTACCCGACTGTCAAATGTCAGAGCCTTCCCATGGCGTCTTTATTTACAACGTCGGCCAAAACAAAGGGACGGTGCCCATTTTTTGCCCCTAATTATCATGACACCCCATTTTTGGCATCTCTTTCGATAAGGGTGGGTTTTTCTGACAGATATGAACGACGTCCTTGAGACTGATGATAACTTATTTGACTAAAATAAAATTCATAAAATTGTGTGTAATTAATTCTATTTTATTCTATTTGCTAAATTATAATTATGAAATAAAAAATATGAATTAAAAATTTTTTCCTTTATATTACATATTTATAATTTATTTACATAATGTAGGAATAAAAATCTTAAATTTTTTTAGATGGTCTGAAAGGATGCGTTGGAGCAAAAAAACTGAAGTAATAAGCAGTCCACAACACCGTTCAGCCGTGCAGACTTCTGCAGCCGCAATGGAAAACTTGGCAATGACCAGTGCTGAGGCACGGAAATTGGACCTCGGTCTGGTTGTGGAAAAAGACTCCTTGAAGTCGGTCGACGAGGCTGGACATGAAGAGACGCACACCCTGATGATGGGCCAGCAGTACATTCTCGAACGGCCTGAATCTGAAGGAGGACCACAGGTTTGAAATTTGAATTATTTTGTAATAATTTTCTAAATATACCTAAATGCACAGGTGGTGAAATTAAACGCCAACGGACAACTGGTGTCTTGTGAAATGCTGCCGCACGTAGGACAGCTGGACGCCGACCACCAGAGTTTGGTGCTGCATGTAGTGCCTCAGGGTGGATTGAAGGAGGCTTACAACCTTCAGCATTTGCGAGGCGGCCTTCTTCAGGATGAAAGATATATTGAAGCCCTTCCCGCAGGCCACTATGAACAGGTTTGTTCATTAAAAATTGTCCCTAAAATTCAACTCTTCGGTCCAATCTTATCAGGTTGTTATTTAATAAAATTTTAATGTGTCTAGGAGTTGCTTAGTGCTGCTGACATAACAGAGGAGGATCGTCGAATAGCACAAACCCTGATGGCGGTGCAATTTGGCCAGCAGCCAAAGCACAAAATGACTTTAGAGCCATTGGTGCCCACCACGTCTGCAGAGGCAAATGTGATCATGAGTGTTGCGGACAGCATGATTGTGGACGCAACAGCCGACCACTTAGGCAAGGTTGATCACACACAGATGGTGGTCGAGTATATTCACCAAGTCGATGGATCTCAATACGAACCTAAAGGGGTGAGCATGAATTTTTTTTGCAATTTTGAATGTAAAAGTTTCTTTGGATTTATTTGCAGGTTCGATTAATGCAACATGAGCAAGAAATGGTGGAATTGACGCCTGCCAGAGTGGACGACCTGCACCAGACACAGCATTTGAAATCCATAAACCACGGGCCTATTATTTTGCGCCGCACCCTCACAGCCCCGAGCAATGAAATCAGAAGAGAGATTTTACAGCACCCTGTGCAGCATCAACAAGTGCAGGCAATGAATCCAATCAAGAATGAAGAGGAGGAAGAGTTTGAGAGCGGCGAAGATCCTGCAGACTCTGATTACGAGGCTGGCAAGGAATCGAGGTAACAAATAATTTATCCTATCATAAAAATTTATAATTAAATTTTTTTCCATCACAATTTCAGATCATCGAGAAGAAGTCTTCCGCACAAAAAGCGCATCCCGAGAAAATTGAAAAATGTCAAGTCCACCGAGAAAGTACTCAAGTGTCCAAAGTGCAGTGAGACTTTTCACTCACAAGCTGAACTGACCGCTCACAAGCAAACCCACAACAAAAAGCAACAGCAACAACAACAGCAGCAGCAATTGCCTTCTTACAACTGCGAGCTCTGCAACAAGGGTTTCCCCACACAAATTAAATTCTTCGAGCACCTCAAGGCACATTATGAACCAATAAAAAAGATTGAAATGCAAGAAGAAATTTCTGAACTGCCTCCAGTTCTGGAGGTTCATGAGGATACCGCCTCGGACACTAAACTGGTGCACACGTCAGTCATTGTGCAGGATCTACCACCGGCGCTGCCTCCCCCACTTCCCTGCAACCAGTGCAATAAGGTTTTCAGGCGGCAGAAGGCGCTTGATACACACATAGCCACTGCTCACGCACAGGTATAAAATCAATTTTATTTTAACTTCAAAGTTATCAAATCAGTAAAGAATTTTTCATTAATTTGTAGATACTTTGATATTGGATTGATTGTTTTAAAAGTAAGCAAAATTTAGTTCAGAAAAAAAATTTCACTAAAATTTTCCTTTTTTTTTAATTTCAATAAATTTGAGAGAATTGTTTATTGTAATTAATTGCTAACTAAAGTGAAATTCTTATTTCAGCCTAATACAGATCATGTGGTGCTGAATGAAACTGTTTATATTGGAGAAGGTTTGGTGCCGGTGCCAGTTGAAGAGGTGGAGAAAAAGGACTGGGCGTCAAGTGCAGAACTGACGCCCATGGCAGCAGCCATCCCTGAAGAACAGGTGGCCGACCTGCGTGAAAACACGGTCATTGTGCCAGTGGGTCCGGCTGATGACGACGAAGACGATCAGATGATGACTTCCATACATGAGTACTCAGCAGACGATCTACCCAATTCAGGTGCCTTCCATCTCTGTGACCACTGCGGCACTGGCTTCCAACTCAAGACTCAACTTCTGGCGCACATCCGAGAAGCACACTCGGAGCCGAAGAGGAAAATGCGCAACAAGAAAGACGAATCTGGCCCGGCAAACGCGGCGGCCGCTGTGACCAAAAAGAATGAACAACTAACTTGCCCTCACTGCGGACGCGTCTTCAACCACCGAAACTCCTTAGTTTACCATTTGAGAAGTCATACGGGCGAGAGGCCACACCAGTGTGAGGTATGCAAAAGTATTTATTTCATTTGGATGTTTTTTTTTTTGTTAATTTGGCAATCATGATAATTTATACTTTTGTGTTTGATATTTCTCTGCTTTTCTTTAAAATCAATATGAAATTTTTGTTTCAGGTGTGTGGCAAAAGCTTTTTTGCAGCGAGTGCGCTCAAAGTGCACATGCGACTGCATTCAGGTGACAAACCGTACAAATGCGAGTTGTGCGGACGTCACTTCAGGCAGTGGGGTGACCTCAAGTACCACTGCATTTCAATCCACACGGAGGAAAAGCAGTATCAATGCGAGTACTGCGGCAAGGACTTTGCACGCAAGTACAGCCTCATTGTGCACCGGCGCATCCACACTGGCGAGAAGAATTACAAGTGTGAGTTTTGCACAAAAACCTTCCGCGCCTCGAGCTACCTGCAAAACCATCGGAGAATCCACACAGGTCAGTTCATGAAGGAGAGAAATCCAATATGTTCTTAAACTTAAATTTAAAATTCATAAAATCTTAAACTGACAACTTGAAAATTTTCAGGTGAGAAGCCACACCCTTGTGAGATTTGCGGAAAGCCATTCCGAGTGCGTTCGGACATGAAGCGGCACATGAACACACACAAGAGGGAGCGGAGTGAGAGCAATGCCGCCTCCGTGGCCACCCCTTCTGTGGTGAACCATAGTGACGGCCACTCCTCTCAAGAGGGTACCACAGACATTGGTGTCGCCCATTCGGAAATGTCTGCTGGCGACGAAGTGACCCTCCCCGAAGGTACTGTCGTGATCACAGAGGAAAGTCTTAGCCAGCCGATCAACCTCAACATGTCAATTCCTGTGACAGAACACGCGGCAGCTGACGACGCTGCTGATCAGGCCATGGCTGGTGATGAGGCCCAGTTTGCCCGAGACCCACTTGAAACGGTGCGTGCCGATAATGCTGGCAACACTCTCTATGTCTGGCCCATTTACATGGGCTGACACATTTCCTCCCACAAGTGCGTTGCCTTTCGAAATAGTTTTTAAGGAACATAAAACATTTTTTGCCTTCAGGTGGTTTTAAATTTAAATGACTTGAAGTCCTTCGTTATCAAACGAAATCGAACAAATTGCTTTAAATTTTGGTTGTAACTTCGTGGTGAAGCATTTTTTTTATATATAAATTGTTGCAAATGTTTTAATTACTTGGCTGATCCTGTGCAGAATCAGATCTGAACCAATAAATCACTTTTTAAATTCTAGTGTGAAACTAAATTTGATGTAAATCAGTTGGCCAGTGTCAAGTTGATCAAACTTGGTTTTTATTTGCTTTTGTGCCTAATATATTCAATAATTCCAGGATAATGCTAATTATTCAAATCCCTTTAGAATTCATGCATTTTGCACTGGCTATCTGATTATGTAAACAAATCTACAACCATGAACTTAAAATTTTTGTTTTATGCCATGAGTTTAGTATTACTATTATTTTTGTAATGAGTCTCCCTCCGCTGGGTTGCAAAATATCATTTGATGAAGAACTTTTATTGCATAATTGAACCATGTAAAGATTTATAGATATTATGTATTTTTAAAAGAGCTAACCCTTTAAAACAATCATCCACATTCATTCCAAATTAAATCATATAATATTTTTATAATGAAAATCAAAGACTGATATTGGTAGTTGAGTCCTTGTAGGACTCCCCATGGTAAGCAGTCGGAAAGAATGGACAGATTATAATTATATAGAAAAATCATCATACGAGTTAAGGTTAATTGTTTGTAAAAAAAAATTGTAACTCAAACAACAATAAAACAGAAATCACCTATGAAATTTAAGTAAAGTCCATTAATTTATGTGACAAATGAGACCACTTTATTAATTAGACAATTTACAATTAGGAATGAGAGATATACTGAAAGAGGCAATAATAGTTATATTGCTTAAATTAATCGTGAGAGGACTGGCGCTGGACTACCAGCAGAAAAATTTGCATCTGCTTTTCTTTGTACAGCCGCAACAACAAAAAATCCAGGCGAATACTAATAAAATAAAAAATTCTTCAGCCCCACATGTCTTCGGATCTGCCGAACTTGAAGAGCAGCGACGCTATGAAGATGAAAATGTTTTGCAGGAAAAGGCCTACTCCAGGATAGGTCGACTTTTTATCTGCTTTAGAAGTGATTTAGAATTTTTAAGTTATTTGTTTCAAATTTCACCATCAGGAATGAAATCGGCAAAGAGAATCCAGCAGGCTGCAAAGACAGACACAAAGCCAAGGACGAATCCGATGAAGAGCCACACTCGAGCACCTCTAGGGCCCATGCAGCCGTTAGTGTACGCGTCGCCACGTACTTGGGCGTTAGATACCACATTGATCCTGAGAAGAACAGTCAACATCATGAAATAATATGAATAAACTTATGAGTTCTTACATGAAGAGAGAAATCGTTCCTACAACTCCGCAGGTGTGATAGGCATGATTGAATACGTTCGAGTCAGGGTAAGCTGCGGCTATGTCGATGATGATCCACCAACCGGTGAAGAACTAAAATTTTATGAATTGGTTAAAACTATAAAATAGATACAATTCGTCTACTATTAAAAATAATAATGCTCGTTTTCTTGCTGATTTCTTGCTCAATAAGTTCTGCTTGTTTTGCGCTTTAATTTAGTAAAATTTACCAGAATTCCTGATGCAATTGATGCAAAAGCATTTTTCCTGTCTCCTCCCTCAAACCACTCACAAGCTGGGAAATTGATATTTTCAAAACAGCCCGACATTTCGGGAATCTTTGGATGTTTTCCTTCTTTTCTGTTTTCTTTTTCGCCACGGCTGCTCTGCTGGATGGTGGGGGTTGGTGAGGGTGGGGGTCGCCTCGTGATTTCAATGTGCCAACCAAACAAGTGTGAAAGATGTTGTTTACTGTAAAACATTTCTAGTTTTCTAAAACTTCTTAATCTTAAATTCATGATTTAAATCAAAATGTAATTAATACTTCAAGATCTAGTAAAAATATTTCCTTCTTTTAGAAATCAGGTCTAAACGTTGTAGTAAGATTTATACAGTTTAGGTGGCAAGACTAAAAAAGGTCAACAAATTCCTCTACATCATCTGGTTTGGTTCCTGCGTCCCTTTGAATTTTGAATTGCAATTTTTCCTCCCTTCGACTGGTAAAAATTTTCAAAATTTTCTGTTTAACTCAAGGTGAGTACGAGAGGTCTTTTAAATAAATTCGCTTGGCGATTGAGCTTTTTCGCTTTTGGAAATTATGTAATAAAATAATTAACGCTTTTGACTCTTGAATGACTGACACTTGGGATGAAATTTTATAGTTTGTATTATTGGTCGTGGTGATGAGTGCTTTGGTGTTTGGAGTCGGGGTCGGGCTGTTTTTGCTGATCGCTCTGTGGGTGACCGCCTTTCTACTCTGCATCGTCTCTCTGCGGGCTCAGAAGAACGTCGGCTTCGTCGCTTTTCTCTCGGCCGTTCTCTTCACCACTGTGCTGCTTCTCTTGCCCATCGACTCGCCCTCTGAGACCAAAGAAGCTGCCCCGACGTCGACACTCAAGGTTTCCCTTTTGTTTGTTTGCTCTTTGATACGCGCTTATTAATCTGCTTTCCGATCAATAAACTAATCTCGAATATTCTGTACTGCCCAAAATAATTTAAATATATTTCTCTTTACAGGTCTACGATCGTTTTTTCATCTGGCGCATTTTGCTGGCCGTCTTTCTGCTGCTGGTGGTCGTCGGTGGCTGCGTCAACTTTGTCTACTCGCACCTGATGGAGCCCCAGCTGGCCAAGCCGCTTGAAAGGCACGCCAGAGTCGAGTGAATTGAGGAAAAAATAACTCCTTTGGCAAAAATGCTCTCTATCGTAGCCTGCAGGGCCTTTTCAACTACAGCCCGCCGCCTCAGAAAGATCTTCACTGTCAGTGATAGTGAAACTTTTATGGACAAAGTAAGAATTTAGAAAGTAGCCTGAAGTTGATTAAAAATTTAATTAAATGAAATTGCTACAGTACCTTAAAGATTTAAATAATTGCTTTTCAAATTTTCATTTTTAAAACAAACTTGATTATTTATAACAATTGTTTTTATTTTCCAATCCATTCAAACACAGATTTTTTTATTCTTTCAATTTTTGGAAAACAATTTGTAATAATTATAAATATAAACAGATTTAAAATATATTTTCCGTGGTCTTGAAGATGATTAATATTGTTTAAAATAACGCTTATGTTGTAAGGTTTGAATTTAGGTAAATTTTGAAACTTATTCAAAGAAATTATTCCTTTATTTCTATTAGATTTATCCATTTTTTTTTTTCAATTTTAGGTCCTGAATAATGATGTGCCTGTGATCGTCAACTTCCACGCAGAATGGTGTGATCCATGCAAGTTGCTGACACCCAAGCTGGAGGAATTGGTGCTGCCCCTGCCTGGCATCGACCTGGCCGTTGTTGACGTCGAGGCTTGTCCGGAACTTGTGCACGCCTTTGAGGTGAAAGCAGTGCCAGCTGTGATTGCCGTGAGGTCGGGACTAGTGGTGGACAAATTCATAGGTCTCGTCGATGCGAAAAACATCGAGGACTTTATTATGAAACTTTCCAAGCAATCTCAGCCTCCGCAAAGCTAATTTTGTAATAGATTCTTTAAGAAAACGTCTAGTTAAATGCAACCCTACTGTGAGTTAAAGGTTGTAAAAATAAGAAGCCATGAGATCAAGATAAAATTTTCCTCTTTAGCATGGTTCACTAAAAAATAAATAAATAAATGCAAATAATAATGTAATAGCACAAACTCCCTGTGCCTTAATGTAGCAAATTTAACGCAATATTAGTGCAAAAATGTTTTATTAAATGGAGGATTTGTTTTATGTTAACTTTTGAAAGTCCTGTAATGCTGAGTATAAAAACGCACAATAAAATTCAATAATATTGTTGACTGAAGAGGGAAATACTTTATTAAAAAGAAAATAATATAAACCTTTGAAGAAATTGGAGGATGCTTAGTTAGGAGATAAATTTTTGTAAGAAAGTTAATTCATATTTAATTAAAAAATAGCAAACACTGATTTCTTGAAGAACAATTTTAAAAGTTTTTGGCAAATATTTTATCCTGTTAATTTTTAAGGAATTTTAGTAGCAAACATTGTGTTGTACTATAAAATAATTTGCCTATAAGTCTGGGTTTGGGGCAGATTTAATAAATTTTACAAATTTTAATTGCTACATTTCTCGATGCAATAAACCCTTTTTGTAGCAAGGCCAGGCGCCTATTTGATTTTGCAAAAAAGCCCTGTGGCGCCAGACAGGCTGGCCAGAATTCACCACCGGAGGGGAAATGAAATAATGCGTCTGGCTCTGGGTAAGAAAGAACACAGAAGTTCTCTTACCCTTTTTAGCAAGAGATCGTCTACCCACCATCCGGACCGCAGACTCCTTCCTTAACCTTGACTTTGGCTTGATAATATACATAATGTATCATTTACTTTTGAAATCCCCACCACAGCTTTGCTCAGTCATTGCAGTGAAGAAAAGTTAAAATTATTATTTAATCTTCAGCTCACAGCAAATAAATGTAGCCGAAAGCAATGATTTATTAGTAACTTCCCCTTTGAGATGAAATTAAAATAAAAATCATTTAAAAAGTGCTGCTTCTCACCTTCAAATTCCTTTTATTATAATTATATTATAATAAATTATTCCTTGGATAAGGAATTAAAATATTTTCAATGTGAATAATATTTCACTTTTGTTTAATTTTCTTTATAATTTAGGTGATTTGAATGAACTAAATAAAAGCAGAACTCCATATTTTTTTTTATATCTGTTTGGAAATTTAAAACTTGTTGATTGTCTCTTGAAAGTATTATATATTTTTTAATTGAAAAGATTTAAATGGTTGATGTTTGCTAAAATTGAAAATATTTTCTCTTTAAATTTATCAGAGTTTCTTCTCTTAATAAGTAAAATTTTTTTGCTTTAAAAAATGTTCGACTCTTGTTTGGCCTTTTTGGAGGAACCTGAAAAATTAAAAGAGGCATCTGGCGCCGCAGCGACTCACAAATTTGAAGAGGCTCAAGGGGAAGTAAAAAGCAGCAGAGCCTTTTTGCATTGGGCACTCTCGGCAGTTGCTGGCGTAGTCAGTTGAGAGCCGGTCGGTTGGACGGAGCGGCAACACTTTTCGCGTGTGTGCCGGTGCGGTGACCTTAGCTGTCAGGCGTATCTTTTATTCCCTCGGCCGCGGTAAGTGTGAAGCAAGTCGGATTATACAAACGACGCAAAAAGCGCCAGAATTCATTCCTCTTTTGTTGTAAAATTATAACTTTTAAAAGCAGATATATCAGATAATTTTTTATAATATCCAAATTTAAATTAATTTTAATATCAAACTGGAAAAGAAAATCTTGTTTTGCATACAAAGTTCTCTCGATGAATTATTATTCTTTTTTTCTACTTTAATTTTGTGTTTTTACTTTTTGAACCTTTTTTTAGTCTGAAATTGCTGCCAAACAATATTTCCTGTTGATTTTTGTTTTAAACAAATCAGCAAGTCCAAAATTGGCAGAGCGTCTAAAAAAGACACGCCTCGGTTGGCTCATTTCAATGTACGCGTCTGTACACTGGCCGCGCTTACTTTGTTAGTTACTATAGACCGGCGCAATTAATCGCTCACGTATCTACACAACACAGGTGAAGCAACGTGTAGCTTCTGTGTAGGTACAAACTCAGCGAGCTACGTGCCATGTCCGTTGAAACACAACTACCGGCCGGATATTGTCCGATGACAGAATCGAATATTAACAATTCTCGGCGGATGCTTTATATTTGGAACACCTCAATTCTCAATTCCACCTGTCAATTGCCATCCTCTCGAGCACCTGTCTGATAATGGAAAAAAATTGCAAAAAAAGTAAAGCAGCTGTCGTATTCAGAAATAAAGGGTGTTTGAATAAACGCTCAATATTTAAATTTAGCTTCTTTAGTGACGTTATTTTTTTTTTAATCAGTTAAGATTTTTTCAAAAATTTAACTCCATGTAATTTTTTTTTTTTTGCTAAAATAATGAAAATAATTATTTAGATATAAATTAATTATTATTGAAGATATAAAAAAATAATTACTTAAAGATCTACAAAATTCAACAGAAATTTTAACCCTGATTTTGAACATTTTTTTCTTTTTAGGTAAAATGGGTTTTCTGCTGCCTAAGTTGTGTGGAATACGGAGCCACAAATGGGCATTTGTCATTGCCATACTAGAGCTAGTAAGTTTTTTATTCATTTTTTCTCATAATTTCTTAACTCTAGTCATAAAAATTACAGATTTTGCACATTTATCTTTTGGTAATGTGCATCAACTACATCGTCATTGCTGCCGGTAAATTCGAGGAGGAAAATAAAGTGCAAACTCTGACTGGGGAAGGCAGTGGCGACGCTGCCAGCAAAGAGACCAGCGTCACCAGAAACTCAACAGAGTTCATTGCCGACGACTTTAAAGAAAGCATCACCGCCTTTTTAGGTATAATTTAATTGTCTCTTATTCTGATTGAATTTTTTTAAATGTTCAAATATTAAATAAATCTTATTAAATTTAATATCAAATTTATGTCACTTTTCCTATGTTAATTCATTTTTTCCGTAATGTGAATAAAACAAAGGAAAAATATTTTCTTCTGCTCAAAAAATATTTTTTTGTTATAATTTTAAGAAAAAAAAATAAACTCATATTATGTAGGAATATTTTATAATTAAAAAAAAACGCGAATTTAGCTAACATTAAAATTAAAAGGTCTCTTTTTAAATTCAAAATCAATTCTTCTTTTTTGCAGAATTGTTGACGGAGTACCAGTCGCAAATGGAGGAACTAGTCGACATCACTTTATTTTATATTAGCATTGCCACAGTCGTCTATGAACTCATTTGCATCCCTGCCATTATCATCTTGTCATGCGGACTTTGCTGCGTAAGAAATTTTAATATACATACGACTAATGTAGAGTAGAATGTAATTCATTTTTGTTGACTTTTTAAGAATTTGTTTAAAATGCTTTATGATATTACCAGAATTTTTAAAGTCGTCACTGTTTTTTTAATTAATTATAATGCAATTTTAAACTTAATGCACATATTTATACTTTTTTATCTGCAGAAAACGAAATGGCTAAGCGTGCCTTGGTTTGCCAAAACCCTTTTTGAAATAGTCGTAGTGCTTTTCTTCATTTACGCCGTCGGCCTGAAATCAACAACGGTTCTCTCTGTGTTGATCTTCCAGCTCGGTATGTCTCGAAGAATGCCTTTTTTAAATTCAACTACTGACCCGGCGCGATTGGTTTGCAGGATACGAGTTGGTGGCCGCGTACGTGGTCCTGAGCGGCGTCAGCAGCATGAATAGTTCTTTGAATTTGGAGGAGCACGCGAACAGCCAGCCCGCGGAAACGGAGCTCAAGCTCTTGGGTGGAGCCCGACACGACCAAGTTTGATTGAAACAAAAACGAACAAAAGGAAATGCTGCCAAAGCGGATATGCAACTTAATTCATAGTCAATATCCATCCATAATCCTTTCACGGAAAACGCGAATTTCCTCGGAGAGATTAAAAAATAAAAATCAACTCCCAATTTCTAACCCGAGACTGTCCCTTCCTTTCGTAAAGAAAGCGAGTCTTTGGCGACATTTATATTTTGAGATTATTATACACTTTTCAAAAACATACGTAATTATATGTTTTAAATTAAGGTTTTTCACTCAAGTGTTTTGAAGTTTACTTAAATGAATGTAAGAGGTTCTATAATTTTAATGAACATTAATTCCTTAATAAAAAAGAGCGATGTGAAATTGAGATAAAATAATCGTTAATTTTTATTTGAAGATGATCCGTGTAGGAGGATTTATTTTTTATGGAGGGCAGATTCTTAAAATAAATGCACAGGATGCAGTTTTTTGCTTATGAGTATGAATAGAGATGAGCTCAACTGGCAGAGTCAGAGGGTGAGAGTTATTTCCGGCACAAAGGGCCGCCAACTTGTAAATTTTTCCTATTTGAATTTAAGCAGACTCAAGATAAGTAATCAATAAAAATTCTTAAGTAAATTTTTGTCAATAAATCCAATAAATCAGCCTTAAAAGATATTTAAAAAGTGCTGTGGCTAAAATTTTTTGAGATAAATAAGTAGAATGATTGTCTAGATTTGGATTGAAGTTTCAACAGAGTTAGTTGGCACTTGAACCCACATTCGGTTCAGAAAGAGCCTTTTTATATATAAACGGAGCACTTTGTTTCGTCTGTCAACAAACAATTGCCGCAATTTTTTAACTACGCTTTTAAACTTCAATGAGGCGTTGCGCACTTTCTTTGAAATGGCATTTCAATGACTTTTTAGAAACAAATTAAGTTTTTTTTTTACTTGAACCAACAATGGATTCGCGAGTCATATTCTATTGCTGCCTTGAAATCGTAAGTTTATAAAATTGCATACATATGCTTTTCATTCATATTTAATTGCTTAAGTTAATTCAAGTTTGTCTCTTGACGCGAGACGCTTACTTAACTTGTGCATCTGCGGAAGGCCAAAATGTGAATGTTACGCAGAGCGAAGTTAATGAAAATGCTGCATACGCCGGTACAATTAAAATTATTACTTCCGTATCAATATCTACTTTTGCAAATCGAATTCCAGAGCTTTTAACGTTTTACTGGCAGCCTGAAAAAGTTTTATTGATGAGCAGTCAATCCTCCGAAAGCGCAGTTTTTGGATTTGTATCCATAGCGGCTCTTGTGCTCCTAGTTTGGGCACTGATTTCAGTAAGTTAAAAAAATTCAATGTTATGGAAATTAAAATATTTTACAGGAAAAGAAGTGCTTTGCCTGGCCGTGGTATTTGAGAATTTCAGCCGAAATAGCAGTTGGAGTTTATTTTACAGTGGTGGCATTTTCTGCTCTTTACGGAGCTAGTTCGATAATTCCTTTTCTTCTTTGTTCTGTATTTGGTTTGTTAAAAAAGTTCATATTTCACGGATGGAATTTATATAATTATGTTTCCAGTTTACAAGATGCTCATTACTTTCTTCATTTGGAAAGAACTTAATAAATTCAAAAGACAAAAGAAACAGAACGTCTCAGAAGATGATAATACTGAAGCCAAGGATGAAATCTCCATCTAGTATTTTTATATATATAAAAAAAAAAAAAAATTTTAAATACTTAAAAAAAAAGTGTTTCTTAATCTTGTAATTTTAATAATTAAAATCAATTTAAAAATAACAATTCATTATTTATTTAAATCAAGATCGTTACTTAAAACTGACTTAATATTTTTTCCCATCACACTCGCACTATTTTTTCTCACTTTGTCCGGTCATCATCATCTTTCTTGTGAATTTCTTTCACAATCTCATCAAGTCGGTACAAGTCTTTGATTGAAATCTCCCCTGAGCCGCGTTCAAGAGGTTTCGGCTGGCTGGGGTCAGGTTTCCAGCCTAGGAAGTAAATTACCTGAAACGTTGCGGGGACACCTTTGTCGTCTCCGTACATTTCCTTGTAAATGGAGGCCGCGGCGAGAATGTTGTCCCTGGGCAGGTGGGTCAGTCGGTTGTGGGCCGCGTTGTTCTCAGCCATGCCCTGCAGGTCGGTCATCAGCTCCAGCATGGATGGGTAGCCAACTTTGAGCTCGTCAGTGTCCACGGTCTGCATGACGAATCCAGCGCGGGTCAGCAGTGACCCCACGTCTCGCACATGGGCCATCGGGGACACGTGAGACGCAATCCCTCCTGACCTTTCGAGACTGGCCAACTGCAGGGAGCAGCGCAACTCGAAAAGGGTGTCGCCTCCGAAAAGGCAGCCGAGGAAGGCACCGTCTGGCCGCAGACTTTTGAAGACTCGCTCGAAAGTGCTCGGAAGGTCGTTAACCCAGTGAAGGGCGAGTGAACTAACCACCAGATCCACGTCTTTGAATGGCAAAGGACCCTCGTCGTCTAAGGCCAATCGCTCAACCTCAACCCCTTCCTGAAATTATTAAAATGACATAATTTAATTTTTTTTTCTGAATAATTTTAATTAGGAATTTCTTTGCGCTTTTTTAATATTATTTTTTGTATAATTGCGGTGGATAAATAAAGAATAAAATGACAAACACGGTACAAATAATATTAAAATTATGAAAAATAAAAACCTCAGGTCCCTTCGCTTGGGTGAGCAGGGCCGGACTGAACTCGCACATGGTCAGTTTGGTGACGTTGTCGGCCGAGATGTGCTGCGAAACGTGTCCTCGGCCGCAGCCCAGATCGACGACGTGCCGAAACTGACGTTTGATGTCGAAAACGCGATCGGCCAGCCGGTAGCCGATCTCGTCCTTTACGTAATCGAAAAGGGCCACGTCGGGGTTGTGGGCGGCCCTCTCGCGCTGCCGAAGCTTGGCCGACCTGTCGAAGATGTTCATCGACATGGCCCGAGACCACGACATCCGCACCAGCGGCCACCGGGCGGCCACGACGGCCAGCATTTTCGCCCAAGGTTCAAATCCTCGTGCTGTTTGTTTACAAGATTTTATTCTTTAAACAAAAGCGCCACCCTTATACCCTTGACGATTTTGAGAAGTAGAAAAGGGGGCGTGGCCTAGAACATTCTCCTTCCAATTCAAAGTTCTTTCCAGGGAGAGATAAAAATTCAATTTTAGAAACGAAAACATTGGTGGATTTACCCGTTTGAGTACGTAAAAATAACTTAATTGGGCCATTTACGGATTAATTATATTCGTTATCAATAGGGTTTCCCATTCTTTGTTTGATTGAGTGGTTTTTGCGACTTCAAGAGGCCCGTGAATGCTCATTGTCAGATCTTTTGTCGTCATCGCAGCTCGTACTACACTACTGTCCAGGTTGAGGAGCCACGCAGCTGTCGTCCAAGCAAACCAGTTCCATAAAACGGGACTGCTGTTCAAGAAAAGAAAGAAACAAATCGACGTAAAGGACTTGGTGTCCAGAGTTATGAATGACACCCCAGAGGTTATCTATGAACGGAAGGTGCAGAAGGAAGCTGAAGAAGGTGAAATCATAGAAATTGACAGCGAGGACTCCAATGACAACGACGTTGAAGTCTTGGAAGAAATAATGCATAAGACTCCTAAAAATCCACCAAGCAAGAAATTTGGAAGAGGTAAAATCTAGAGTTATTAATGATAGTGCAATATGATGCAATTTTTATAAAATTTGCAGAAATTTACCACCCTCGATGTCCCCTGTCTGGGCGTCTTTTAGACTTTACGCCAGTTGGAGAAAAAGTTAATAGGCATGGTTGGTATTGACAATTTTTATGCCGAAGTTAAAAAAAATTCTAAATAATGCAAAACAATATCGTTGGAAGGCGTTGGAAAAGGTGAAGTACAGTTTTCTGTGATGAGCTACAACGTGTTGGCCCAGGAACTCCTAGAGCAGCATCCCTACCTATACCAGTACAACAATCCTCAAAGCCTAGTCTGGCAACAAAGATTCTCAGGCATTGTCAAAGAAATCAACTTCCTCAAACCTGATGTAATATTTGTTAATTAATTTAATTTACTCGTTCATGAAATAACTTATTTTTAGATTTTATGCATTCAAGAGGTTCAAGCTTCCCATTTGGATCGATATTACACTGCTACTCTGAAGAATTTAGGTGAAATTTGGCAAACCAAAAATCAAATTTTGTATTATCTTATAAAACATTCAGGATACACAGGGACTTTTAAACGTAGGACTGGTGAAAAGTGTGATGGATGTGCCATATTTTGGTTGAAAAGCAAATTCAAATTGCTGGAGGAAACCTCGGTCGAGTTCTTCCAGCCTGGAGTTTCAGTATTGGACAGAGATAACATTGCAATAGTTCTCAGACTGGAGATTGACGGCCACGAAGTTGTCGTTGCCACCACACATTTGCTCTACAATCCTAAAAGAAGTGACATTCGACTTGCTCAGGTTTGAAAAATTTCTGAATTTGAATTTTCATTCTAAAAAATATGCATAAAAATTATGTTTAAATTATTTTAGGTACAACTGCTTTTGGCTGAGCTGGATCGCGTCTCTCACTGCAAAATTGATGGCGTAACTTGCCATCACCCTGTAATCCTGACTGGGGATTTCAACCTGGATCCGTTCTCCAGCGTGTACAAACTCATCACCTCTGGCCAGTTGAGGTACGAGAGCCTCTCTAAACCTAGGCTGAAAGAACAGCCTGGCAGGGCCTCTCCACCACTTGGCTGCAGTTTGGTCCCTCCACACCTGGGGGTCACCGACTGCTGCCGACATGCATCCATTATCACAGAAAGAACAGAGTGTATAGAAAGGTACCTTTTCAGCAATTGAGAATTTTATTGGTTTATAAACAATTTAATACATTTAGGCAGAGAAGTGTGGAAATAGTCACTAGAGAGCTGAACCTTCTTGGTTTGCATCACACCGAGCGGAGGTCTCGGAAAATGCAAGTACCTAAAAGTGGCGAGCACCAATTTGGCTCCGGCACGCTTTCTCACAACCTCAGTCTGGTCTCTGCCTATCCACACAGGAGGAACAACAAGTTTGAAGCGACAACGCACCAAGACGAGTGGACAACAGTTGACTATATCTTCTACAGGTGCTTTGATCTTGTTATAAGAGGAAAGTGATTTGTAAAATAATTATTATTATTTTTTTAGCCAATTGTCGGAAGATCTTAGCTCAAAAAGACTGAGCCTCTTGGCAACTTGGAGATTGCCAACCGTGGACGAGTGCGAAATTCTAGGCCCCATTCCAAATTTTGACGCTCCCTCAGATCACCTCCCAATTTTTGCAGATTTCCTTTTAGTATAACCATTGTTTCTCACTCAATGAACACACTGATTTTAATTTTGTCATGAAACGATAATAACAGATCATAATAAATGAAAATTTGATGTTGTAAGCAAAAAAATGCTGTGCCTGCATAATTGTAAGAAAATACTGAAATGAGAAAAATGTATTTTTATCTTCAATAAATCTATAATTTATTAACAAGAATTGAATATATTATTTACACAACTTGTACATAACCTGCAGGCCCATGCATTACAGTCCCTGGCAGTTGAGGCAGATTTACAGAACTGACACAAATGCTGAGAGTCTCAATTTTGTCAGATAACGTGACACTTTTATCATACAAGTTTGGGCATCCCGTTGCAGTGATTTTCTTAATCAGAGGGTAGTGGCTGGAAATGGTCAGAAGGCTGTCGGACGTGAGGTCTGCATTGTTTGATATGACGATGTGCTCAATAGCAATGCCTTTGTCATTAGCAGAGCTACAAGAAATTTGTTTAGACTGTTATAATGATTTTTTTTTATAAATTACCTTAGCAACTCCAAAATATTTTGATCTTTTAAGTTGCAGCCAGATAAGTTGAGCTCGTCTATTACACCACCTCTTTCTCCAGCTACCACGATTTTGAGGAAAAGTAGTTCCAACTCTTTAGCAACTGAATCTCCATCATTTTCCTCTTCAACAGGCTAGAACAGACATGATAATATTACATTGCTTGATAATCAATATAATACTCACCAGTGCACATGAGTATGAAAGATTGAGCTTCTTTAAATTCCAGGCATTCAGTCTTCCAAAGAGATATGAAATTCCATGGTTTCCCAGAGGATTGTAGCTGACGTCCAGCTCTTCAACAGCATCCACTTCAAAGAAAAATTTTTAATTACTTTTGCAAAAGAAAAATGAATATATTTACAAGCTAGGAATGGTATGTCAGAGAAGGAATGACTTCTAGGCACTTCAAGTTCGCAGTCGCTCAAGTTCAGGGAGGTCAGTTCCAGACAATCAAGCAGAGCAGCAAGTGGTTTTAAGCCCTCCTCACCAATCATGTTGCAACTCAGATCCAAGTTTTTTAGACCCTGCAATTATTTTTTTATTTTAATGGCCATTTCCAAATCAATCTGACCAGTGTTTGGCATGGGTTGTTGGATTTGGATGAAACTTGGCATGGTGATACCCTTAGGGTAGGTGGTCAACCTAAGGTATATAGTTAGTCCAATATCCCAACATTGCCTATTTTACAGGGGCTCAAAGTGGCGATTTTTGCAAAAATAAAGTTTCCTTTAATCTCAATTATCTCGGGTTCTAGTGAAACAATTTCAAAAAACTTGACACCGTTTGAAAGCCAATTAAATGGACTTGAATTCCGCTATAAGCGTCAAGGTCGCAGGTCAAAGTTCAAGGTCACTAAAATTTTGATGAAATTTTAAAAACGCTGCCAGATATTGAAGGACCAAAAATATTTAAATCTTTTCCACAGGAAAAATGTTCCAAATTTAATTTTACATCGGTGTACAAATTTTGGTGATATGTATTTTCTTTGTTTTTGAGATATCTACAGGGGAAGTTCAAAAAACGTGGTTTTTTGGCCCTTTTTTGAGGTCGTAAAATTTTAAACGCCTCTAATTTTGCTAAATTTGCCATAAAATTAAGCAAATACACTTCAGGAATGAGGAACTATCATATATAATGCAATTCTATGATCAGAGTCGATTTTGAAATCCACCCCTACCCCTGGGGGTGGGTTTTGGGGTTAATTTTAAATATGCCCAATGTTTGTGTTTTTGATGTCGTTTCCTATGTTTTCGACATCCAGGAACACGAATCTGAAGTCAGTTTTTGTTTAAAGTTAATAGCTTTATTAATAATCGCAGTTGAATGTGGCGAGTTTGATCGTCCGACGAATTGCGAGAAGCTGAGAACTCACTGCATTCAAGTGCGATTATTGATTAGGCTATTGACTTTAAACAAAAACTGACTTCAGATTCGTGTTCCTGGATGTCGAAAACATAGGAAACGACATCAAAAACACAAACATTGGGCATATTTAAAATTAACCCCAAAACCCACCCCCAGGGGTAGGGGTGGATTTCAAAATCGACTCTGATCATAGAATTGCATTATATATGATAGTTCCTCATTCCTGAAGTGTATTTGCTTAATTTTATGGCAAATTTAGCAAAATTAGAGGCGTTTAAAATTTTACGACCTCAAAAAAGGGCCAAAAAACCACGTTTTTTGAACTTCCCCTGTAGATATCTCAAAAACAAAGAAAATACATATCACCAAAATTTGTACACCGATGTAAAATTAAATTTGGAACATTTTTCCTGTGGAAAAGATTTAAATATTTTTGGTCCTTCAATATCTGGCAGCGTTTTTAAAATTTCATCAAAATTTTAGTGACCTTGAACTTTGACCTGCGACCTTGACGCTTATAGCGGAATTCAAGTCCATTTAATTGGCTTTCAAACGGTGTCAAGTTTTTTGAAATTGTTTCACTAGAACCCGAGATAATTGAGATTAAAGGAAACTTTATTTTTGCAAAAATCGCCACTTTGAGCCCCTGTAAAATAGGCAATGTTGGGATATTGGACTAACTATATACCTTAGGTTGACCACCTACCCTAAGGGTATCACCATGCCAAGTTTCATCCAAATCCAACAACCCATGCCAAACACTGGTCAGATTGATTTGGAAATGGCCTAATAGATAAACTTTATAATGAAATTACCTTCAATGATCTGGTTTCTTCTACTTTTTTCCCCATCGATTCCAATCCCTTGGATGTGATATAGTTGCATGAGAGATTCAAACTTTGGAGATTTTCAAATGAGCCAAGAGCATTATTCAGGAGCTGGAACATATGCAGGTTTAAAGCATTTGCAGCAAGGAAATTTAATTAAATTCACCTCCAATCCAGAGTCTTCAAGTCCACAACCTGAAAAGTCAATTGTCTGCAGAGAAGTTTCCTTCTGAATTGCTTTCAAGATAGGAACTGCTTGTGGACCAAGAGGCAAATTTTTCAAAACCAACTGAAGTGTAGCCTGAGATGCCTCGAGGCACTGTATAATATGCTCATCCTCCTCTATGAATATATTTTTATTTATTACATTAATTTAGGAATTAGAGAAAAAAAACCTTACCAACTTTCTCTAATTTGCATGCTTCTGCATATCGTTTTGACAGTGGGGGAAGGACCAGCGAGTCGACCAAAGCACAAACGTCCACTTCAGTCTCACTCGACTTTAGAATTACACTTAATGGATCATCGGGTGACAAAATTGCTCCATCAGACCTTGTCAGGGTCAACTTTGGCTCCATTCCTTCCATTCTGAAGTAAATTTTTATCATTAAATTCACAAACAACAAGTTTTTACTAATACTTCATGTATCTCTCGGCAATTTTCTCCGCAACCCCACCAATGGAAATATCTCTGCTGCTGATAGGAACCAAAAATATTTTCCCTTCAATCTTGGCTCTCACGCTTATACTTTCGTCCTAGTAACAAAAATAAAAAAAAATAAAAACGTTCCAAGTAAATATTTAAATAATTACCGTTTCAAATAGCTTTTTGGGAGAAGGCTTTGCTTGAGGCACATTCGGACTTTTGATGATTCTATGCCTTTTACTTGGGCTTTTCTTTGTTGGGGAAATTCTCCTAAATGGCCTTATGGGCACAATTTCCTCTTCTGCACTTGACGACTCAGAGTCCTGACTGACATAGTGATATGTAACATCTTCAAAAGGAGGAATGTCTGGCACCACTTCTTGCAAAATTTCCTCGAGAGAAGAAGACGAGCTTGTCGAGACTTGGCTCTTTCTGAACGGAACAGGTTAAACAATAAGAATTAATTTTGATGGATTCTTACCTTTTGCTACGTTTTTGCTGCGTCTGTTCAGGCTTATCTTCCGATGAACGCCGTCTCTTTGAGGATTTCGAAGTGCTCGGACCCATGTCATCTTCAAGCCACTCGACGTTCGCCTCCTCTTCAGGCACCAAAGCAGCCAGCGCTGGTGTGTTGTATTTAGCAGGAGCCCTTGGTTGTGTGGGCATGTTCCTTCTCTTCATACTGTCAATGACGTTTCTGTATTCATTGACCGATGAGTGACCGCCGTGTCGTCTTTGAGACGGACCGGCTCCATCATCATCGGAAACAGATCCTGAAATAAATAAATAAAATAAATGAATGACCAGAGAATTTAAGCAGTTAATTAAATTACTTCTTCTTGATGAGGTGGGCTGAGTGTCATCCAATTCTTCATTGTCGTCATCCGAGTAGAGTATTTTTTGAGTGCCCTTTCTCCTTTTCATCGATATTTGTTCAGGGTCGGCATCATCAGATGAGTGAGTGTCTCGGTTGCCTCTAAGCTGTGCCAATCTAGTACCAGATCCTTTAAAGTAATTTCCGTCAGTACCAAAAGTGAACTCTGGCTCCACAGATGACTGCTGTTCTATTTCCTCTCCAGCTGAATACAAATTATTAATAATTTATTATTAAATATAAATATTTTCTTTACCTTTTTTCAGCAATTCGATCATCCTTTCTCGAATGATGGAGCACCTTTCAGTATCCTCCTCAATTATTTCCTTTTTATTCTTCATTTTTGTATACCACTTATCCAAGGAATTTAGCGCATTCAGTCTCTAAAATTTACAAATATTAAGTTTTACTCATGTTTTAATCAGGTTTTAATAAGGCTTACTAACCTCTTTGACTGTTCTCAACTCAATTTTGGCGCCTCGGTCCAAAAGAAGCTCAATCACGGTGAAATGCCCATTGGAAGAAGCGTCAATCAGTGGGGTTGTTCCGTCACATTCAAGGCTTCCTGGTTTACCCTGATCATTTATTTTTGCACCATGATCTAGCAGAAAACTGACAATTTCTGCATGGCCAAAATTTGATGCTTCATGGATTGGTGCCCAGCCGGAATTGTCGTAAACATTGACGACGTGACCCTGTGAATGATAAATTTAAGAGAAAAATATTTTCAAACAAATAAATTTTACATTCTTGACAAGAAACTGCACTGTCTTAAAATCTCCTTTAATGCAAGCAGTGTGAAGCTTCGTTTCACCTTTTTCATTTCTCGTCTTTGTGTAATCTTGTTTAGTTCTAGTGCGCCGTTCCCTTGATTCTTTTGGCTGAAGCTCTGTTACAAATTTCATAATTTTATAAAAATTTTGGGTCAAATATATTTATTTCAAACCTGGCAGGCTTTTGAGATCAATGCTCTCGTACTCTGGTGCAACCTCCTCTTCTTCAACATCCATACTTTGGCTGTCACTTTCTTGACTTCCTAACTCACTTTTTAGGTTAGTTATATCATCTTCCAAATCTAGCGGAACTGAAGATGATAAAGTTGTAAATTTGTAAAGACCTTGTTATTCAAACATACTTTTATCAAGAGTGCAGTAGCTTTCATAATAACTCTGCAGCAGCAGCAAAACCTCCAACTCCAGGCTCTTGTTCTCACATGTGATGGCCAAAGTCCTTGCCATTTTCAAATGATACAGCTGGTTGTCTAGATCGTTCCTCTTCTCGCAAACACTGGCCAGATTCATTCTGCTGCGGCACTCTTCTTTCGGGTTTGCAGGCCACAGGTCCTTTTCCCTCTCGTAATACTCCATGGCTTTCTGATATTTCCTCATGTCTGCATAACTGCTGGCGATGGAGACCAGGGCAGCACTCAAGCTTTTTGAATCATCTCCCAATTTTTCCGAATACTGAAAATTTTAAAAGGAAAGCTAAGAATATCTATTTCAGGACAGAAAATAAAAACAAACCTCAAGCATATTTTTGTAATAAGTTACGGCACTGGAGAAGGCTTTTAGTTCAACAGCATAATCTGCAAAATAATACTTTTTGGATATGCAAAATAGAAATGTTTAAGTTTTACCTCCCATCTTATCAAATAGTTTCTTCCTTTCAAGATAGTTGTCCTCGTCCATGTTTCTCAGCTTGTCTTGGGAGTTCAAGAGATAAATTACAATCTTCAGGTTTCTTTCTATCAGCTCTTTGCTCTCGGTCGTTTCCAACTGGTATGCCCTGATCAAGCATTCCTTAGCTTGACTGAAGTTGCCCAAGCTGAATAGAATCTAAGGCAAATTCACTGTCAAGGTACTTTTTGCAAATAAAAAGTATGTTATTTACCTCTGCTTCCGATTCCAGAATTTGAAACAGCAGATCTCGACCTACTGGGTCAGATATAGATGAGGCTAGATTTGAGGCTTCGCTGATTTGCTTGAGGCCCTCGACGTGGCTCCTTTTGCTCAAAATGACGCCAAGTACTCTATGGCACATTGCCGTATCGTAATTTGAAGAACCACTGTTGCGGCACGTTTCAACTGCCTGGAATTACACAAGTATTATGACAATAAAATATTAAAGTTTAAAATTTTACAAATTTTGCGTATTTCTCAGCTTCGTCTATCTTTCCACTCATCTCGTACGCAAGGGCAATGTTCATGAAGATTCTCGATTTCATCTGTGCGATTTCCCGTTTTGACACGGTGCCTTCTGCGTCCAGCTCGTTAGCCAGGCTCAAACTTTTCAGATTGCTCTTGTGCGACTTCTTCAGAATGCGATCCCTCTCCGCGTCAGTTTTGCAATCCTGTGCCATGCAAAAGTGGAAGCGTCCAAGGGAGGCGTAAGCTCTTTGTTCTTCCGCCACATCACCCTCAGCCTTTGCTGCAGCTATTTTATTTTTAATAACAACATGAAATTATGCACCAGAAAATAAATATGACAAATATACCCAAATAGCGTTCGAAGTGCTTTTCGGCAAGACTGGCATTTGTCGTGTCCATCAGGGTCTCGCCAGTAAGTCGGTGCACTTGGGCTACTCTCATCTGCTTTTTGTCATTCCTCAAGTCGTCAATCAAATCCTGAATAAAACTCTTGGTAATCAAAATCTTAACATTTTATTTAAATAATATCATACCTTTAGCTCGGTGACGGCCGCATCAGGATTTCCGGCTTCTCGCTTCAGTTCGGAGAGGCGACAGCGAATTTGGTAAATCTCTTCATAGTTCTTGTCACCTATGGCCTTGCTCAATTTATTCCTCAGCCCTGCAGATATTGCAAAAGAAGTTAAAACAAGTAAATAGAAATTGCATTGATACTCTGTGAAGTAGGATCTTTATTAAAGATAAAGGCTCACTTTTCTCTTGTCGTTCCATTTTGCTTCCAAGAAGATTTCACTCTGCAGGAGATATCAACATCGACTTCGTTCAGGAAAATAAATGTCGATGATTCTGGAAAATTCTATTGAAAAAGAGAACGCTGCACCTGCTTTTGCTCTACCGGCTTTTTTTGTCTGTCTGTTTGTTTCGTTTGTTTACAATATCCCCAGATGCAAGGGATAAATTCCAAGTTAAGCCACCAGAGGGCAGAAAGATCTCCAACTCCGTAGTTACTATACAACCTGTTAAGCATACGTGTTGAGCAAAAAGCATACACAAGAAATTTCAGGGGATTAATCCGCTCAAACAACGGGGCTGCGGGCGCTTGCTCGATAAGGCCACATTTTATGCATGAAAGTAAAAGTTTACCGTAAGTTAATTTATGTAAAGTTTTTTATGTCCTCCCTTAAAAAATTTAAGCTTGAATTTTGCAGCTGCCAAAAACTTCATTTGCAGTCTCTACTTAAATATGTAAGATAAAGTTGATGGTAGAAATATAAATTAAATTACTCAAAAATTTACAGTATTTAAGTATCAGAGTTAATAAATTAATTTGAAAGTTTCTTGTTATATAAATAAAGTAAAAATTTTAATTAGTTTATTATGTAAAATTGAAAATTAAGTATTATAATTATTATTATTATATCCTTTCCTTTTTTCAGCACTTTCTGTGTAATAAATTTGCTACATTTTTTCTTGGCTGAGTAATGGAAAAGGAATGTACTGCGAAGCGCGATTCCGTGATTTATCACCACTTTTTGCATTTGACGCGATTGGAGAATCTGCAAGCTAAGAGAGAAATTTATCGGTGGGAACCGCGTGCAAGGGAGTGCGCCTTTTTGCCATTCTTCCGTATAATAATGCAGCTCCTGTTGCGCAAAAGTGGTGACAGCAGCTTTTGCAATGCATCTATTACTATTTTCTGCTGCATCAGAGGAATGTGCAAGTGCGACCTGCACCGAATGGAATTGTTAATTCCGCTTTGATCCGCTGCTAATGGAAAATTTTTCATTCTCTTCTTGTTTGCACAATTTCCGATGTGCATACGTTGGCAGGCAGCGCTACTCTCATTACGAGTAGAGAGAGAGAGAGAAGAGCATCCTTTCGCGGGCGTGCATTTATTTTCATTTCGCTTTTGTAATCACAATGACAGAGATTGTCTGTTTATTTCAATATTCATAAACTCGCATGGGTCTGAAACAGTTTGAAATAATTAATGTACACAGAGAAACGACGCTGGAAAATTATTTAAAATGTCAAAGCTAACCCAGATTTTTAATTAAAAAAGTTTCCTTATTGTTCTTTTAATTGCAATGCAAAAATGACAGTAGGAATTTTTCTGTGAGATGATTTGTTATATCATTGGATAGACTGGTAAAACAAAATTCGATAAGAGCGGAATTTTCAGGCTCAAAAGTTAGCTGAAAAAACAATGGAAAGCTATTAATTTTTTAAAAAAAATATCGTTTTTATAGAGATCAAATTTCTTTCTTATTTTATATTAATTAATATTAATTTAAAATAAAAGTATTTAAAAACTATTTTGCTAACTTTATAAATTTTCGAAGCTCTGGTTTGAATAATAATATTTTGCATGAATTAATCAATGAACTGGAGGTGAAACAGTAGCACTAGCGAAATGAATATTTAAAAAAATATATTATAAATAAAGGCATAATTCATTTTCGTTCGAAACTTTAAAAAAAGCTCCTAAATTCGAAAATATCCAAACAGATGGAATTTCTAATTTACTAAGATTCATTTTGTTAGAATCAATATTTTCTACACCTGTAAAACATAAATCATAATGATTATTAAAAGTAGGATAAAGATATGATTTGCAAGCAAAGATCTCAAATTCAGGCCGTTCGTACATGAATTGTAATTCAAAGAGTATTTTGCGATTTTTGGCACAATTATTTTTTATTATTGTTCAGCTCAGTTGAGTTCATCCTGTACTTTAAAAAATGGTTAATGGTCGCACAATTTGATAAATATTTTTCTTCCATTTTCCGCACACGCTTTTTTTAACAAACGAAAAAATATCTTTCGGAAGCAAAATATAAACCATGAAAATTGCTCGGAAACAAAGCGTAACCAAGGACAATGACGAACGAACGCCGACTGGCGTGGCGGCGGAATCTGCTCGCAATTTGCAAAATGATGGCGCACGCATAAAAGAGGGAGTATTAAATCAAAAGTGGAGGAGCGAGAGAAAGATGGAATAAATTCCCGAGCTAGCGTTTTACTTTGCGCGAGCGAAACGACGACAAGCCCCATTCTTTTCACTCAACAACTACTAAATCGTGATTTCCATTGCACGTGCCTCGGATAATTCCGTTCTTGCGCATCGAAGAGAGAGAGGGAGGAAAAATTCTGAAAAAGCTAGTGAGTGAGGGAGAGAGACATACCAAAACATCCATTCATTTTTATTATATTAAAAAATTGCCGTCGTAAAGCAGCCCAATATAAAGTACCTTGCTTGCTTTTCCGCGAAGCACATAATGCTCTGCTTTCTTTTTACATTCTTTATTGTTGCTTTTTGCCCTAGGGCTGTGTAAACGTACACCGAGCACGATGTTATACATATATAATATACACATCTAGGGCTTGTGTCTGCAGGAGAGGGAAAGAGCAACGAGTCTCGGCAGTTGGGCGAAATCACGCACTGCATTCAGAATCGCAGCCGCCGCAGCCGAGCTCGCAAACAATAATATCAAATTTTAGCGTGCGCCTCTCCACTTGCACGTAGCGGCGGTTGTTTCGCTAACGCACTACCTTATTTCGTTGAAGAGAACCTCATCAAGCCGCATTGCCGGCACACCGAGAGGTACGGATGTACATTCGTAGAGATACGAGGAAGCACGCACACGCACAATTTGCATAAATTTGGTGAATTTAATTTGATTTATTATTTAATACGCAAGTAGATTTATGTACAATTTAGTGTGATTGAGGAAAAACGCTGTTAAGCAAAAGTATTCAAGTCATCACCTGGTCATCACAATAAATATAAATAAAATACTAAAACAAAAAGGATAATCTAGCAATTGTAATCATAAAATTAACTCAAAAGTTCAACATAATAATTTAAGTTTGTTCTATGAAAGTTTTGTGAAATAAGGGAAAATACATATATATTTGATGGAAAAATTGTAAGGATATTGATTTGACTTAGACGCTTATAAATTGACATTTTAATCAAAATCATAATATTTTGTTAGTTGCGTTGAGGGTACATTTATTCATGAAAAAAAAACTCATAATTATAACATAATGAATAAAATAAGTGAATCTATAAAAATTTATCAACATAAAAGAGAAATAATACTTAATAATTAAAAAATTTAAAAATTAAAAAATCCTCAATATTCAGAAACTTATTAAACTAAGCTAAATTAAATTTAACATTTCCGGTTTTTGTGTTTTATTTTTATACTAAACTAATAAGACTCCAAAATTACATCTTACTCTGATTGATTTGAATTGAAATTTGAGAAACATTATTCTTATAAATATTTTGAGAAATTGTCTTTTGAAAAACCAGTGATTTGCTGAAATCTGTTTTTGCGGCAGGATTTTCTGATTTATTAGAAAAACTAAAGAAAAGAATAATAATGCGAGTCTTGAGGTTATTTGTGTTGGACAGTCCGTGCATGTACAAGTCAAGAGTTCTTCTGCTGCGAGGTCGCTCAAGCATTAACATCGGCTGTTCTTTCTCATATTATTTTTTTTTTGCGTATTCTACTCAGGCCACGGAGCATCAAACTATCAGCAAGTCACGGCGCTCTGAGCACGTCTGATAGTTTGACGTGCCCTTGTCGCCGCGCACAACTGCCGCTCTCAACAAAAGACTTTGCATCAGAGTTTCTTCATCCGCGAGTGCATTGTGACGACTCGAGCTAAAAATGTTGGCGGATGATTGAAATCAAAATTGGATGCTGTTTCGTCTTTTGCTGGCAGAATGGAGGCGACTGAAGGTTTTCCCCGTTTTGAATTTTTTATGCAAAACGAGTGGGAAGCCTTCTTTCCAGTTATAAATGTAAAAAAAAAAACATTCGTGAAAGCAGAATTTGTAGTTTTTCACCTTTTAATATTGTGATTTCGTCTTTCGCCGTCTATTTCAATGCACTGACAAAGGGAGCGTTTTTTTATCTCTTTGGCGCGTTTCCAATGATGCGAGGAGAAGAGAGAAAAATTTATAATAGAAATATGATCCACCTTTGACGACTTTGGAAAGTGGAAAATCTATTTTCGTATGACTTTGAAGCTTCTCTAAAAGGAGACGAAAGCTCAATAAAAGAGAACAGGATATTTGTCTGTAACTTCAAATGAAAGAAAAAAAAAATTTAAACGTTTTTTGTGATACAGAGACGAAAATAAAACTTTTTTGTTCCAGACTAGTCTACAGTCGTTGGTGAAGTTCTATTTTGAAATGACGAGCGAATTTAAATAATAAAATGAAATTCCCGATTTTTTTATTTTCAACTTGTGAGAAGATTGTTTTCCATATTTTGTGAATATATGCTGTACGAAATTTTTTCATATTCATAATTTAAAATGATTTTGTTGAATTGTGTTAAGCTATCCCATTTACAATTAAAGTAATTTCAAAAAGTCCAACATGCATTTTGAATACGTTATTTTCCTTTTTTTTTTTTTTTTTTTTTACAAAACCATCATGACGATTCATGAAGATTCGGTTGGAAAAATCACGTCCCAAAACGTTAGTTGAAATAATTTTCACATTCCTTACAATCTTTACCGCCAAGGATGAATTCGAAATTTTACTTTTAAATTTTAAATCATGCAGTCATGAAAAGTAGATTGTTTGTCCTGCACAAAATTGTGTCAAACCAAGGGGTGTACACGCGACACTCGTTAAAACATATCTGCGGTCCTTTTTTAGCCCTTCATACATATTCTAGTATCCAATTCAACAAGTTTTCTTTATGAGACATAAAGGTGGGCAGGGCTCAAAATGAGCTGCATAAATTTAAAGCTGAAAGTCCTCAACATAATATATATGCAATAATAATGTTATTTCCTAACTTATAAAATTAAAAACGTTTTAGGTATCTGTTTAAAAATAGGCTTTGCTAATTTAGTTTGAATTTTGTAAAAATCTCTACATATTAAAAATTGAATTAGACAAGAACCTCATTCATCGCTTTGTGATTATTTAAATAACAAGTAAAAGTAAAATTTTTGGATGGTAGAATCTCTCCATCTCTCCCCGTTT